GTAAAATCATCCGGACCGGGCGCAGGCAGCAAGTCCTCAAGCACGAAATCCTCTCCAATATCCTGCCCAGGCTTGCGCTTCTTGCCCGTCCACTTGATGGGGGTGCCAGAGGACCCTTCGTGCTTGTCGTTGTTTAAAATCATGCTATTTGCCAGACTGTTTGCCGCGCTGTTGAGAGCATGAGTGCCGCGCCCAGCCTTTTCCCGGTCTTCGCTCCAGGCCGGACCCGGGGGAGGAGGATAGATGACCCAGCTAGGGTCATCCTTAGGGTTGTCGAACGGCCCTTGGAGGGAGACATTGATGTACTTCCGCCTAAGATCAATGATCTTCTGAACGTCCTGAAAGATGCCAGTAAGCTCAGCGGTGATCTGAGGGTCTGCGTCCATATAAGTACTGCTTCCAATACCAGAGACCATGCCAGTGTTGAGCAACGTCTCCCGCTGAGCAGCCGGGTTAATCCTCCCCGGCAATTGCGAGCCATTGTTGGGCCGAGTATGACTATAACTGCCTGAAAGTCGCGGCATCCTTTGGATCAGAGGATCATTGACAGGGCCAGCGTTGAGCCCGGTGCCCATCGTGGACTCAGAAGATACACTCTGGGAAGGATTTGTGGGAATGTGCCTTGTTCCAGCGCTGTGACCGTGACCTGGCGCGATGAAAGGGCTGCCAATGGGAGTGGCGTGGGCGTTTGTAGGAATCTGGTTCCTCTCGACCTGGCTTCGTTGATAGAACAGCTTGGCGTCTGTCTGAGTCATCTGGCGCTCGGTTACGGCGTCGTAGAATGTTGTCTTTTTGGGCATATCTCTGAGAAGCATGCCCTCTTCAATCTCTGCGTCTGTCGAGTGGTTCTCGGCGTGGCCCAGGTCGTCGTGGCCATCAGGGCTGCCAGGCCTGCTGCCAAGGTGGTCATGCTCGATGGTATTGTCGAACTCTGTGTCACTCATTTCATGAGCGCTGTACTCTTCATCGTCGGAATCGCGAGCCGGCAGGTGGCTAGCCGCAAAGCTGGGAGACGTCGGGCTTGACGACTGGGCGTCGCGCGCGTAAGGGGAGGGTCCTGGCAGAAGATCATCAGACCAAAATCTTGAAGGCATTGGAGGGGACATTGGTCAAGGACGGGATCAATGACGTGGGACGTCGTGGTTCCTGCAACTTACCACCACACATAGTAACAGCTTCAACAGCGCAAAGAGCAAGTGAACTGTTGCTGCAGTGTCTGGGTGTACACAGGGGAAGAAAGTGATGACAGGGAGGGGCAGATTTCCAGATTTTCCCCGCGGGATGGAAGCCCAAAACAACGATTGGCCGTTGTAGTCTTTGAGCACAGTCACGATTCAACCTGTCTGGTTGTTGTTTGACGTGTACGACGGGTGACGACGTACTGGACTTGTGTTTGTGTTGGTGATGTTCTTTGGTGTGGTGTTCAGGTTTGTGTTGGGTTGAAGTCTAAGAAGTACATTGACTGTATGGGATGGAACGCCCAGACTAAAGCCCCTCCAAACTCTGATAGAGACTGGTGTAAACTCTATCACAACCACACCAAAGCGAACGGGATCCTCCATCTGCCGTCCAATGACGCATCGCAACCCCACCAAATAAGGCTCTTGCAGGGGGTTTTTCGATGGACACTGACAAGCAGCCTGCGATCTCTTTCAGCGAGTCCCATTTCTGCACCCGCTGCACCTGACAGAAGGACCGCCTGTAAAAACTGCTTGCATGCCGTGCCGACCCTAGCCGCTGCAAGGGCACAAGGTGGCCCCTGGAGACGGACCCCTGAATACTTTTTGATGTAGGGCGGTTCCGGCCCCTTAGTCGTATTCTCGGTCACTTCCGTCAACAAAGACAGTCAAACTATTACCTAAAAGCAGTCATCGAGCCCTAGGATCAGGTGCAGAATCCGAGTTTCATTCCAAACTGTTAGTCAGACACGGTTGTCCCGGCTGCTATCAAGTATCAACTGAACTTCTACAGTTACAACAAATCAAACCCCAATCGGATCAAGCCTTTTTGAGCGGCGCGGACGAGACCCTCCGCACCGGAGCCTTCTTCTTCCCATCCAGCGAGTACAACCCGCCAGCGCCGAACACTATCACGGCTCCCACCAAGGTTCCAAACGCCAACGTATTTCCAAACAGCCATATGCTCAACAGCAGACTGACAAGCTTCCGGATGTTGAGGACGATTGTGACTGTCAAGGCGGTCGAGGCAGCTGCCAAAAGATTGACTCCGCGGATGCAAGCGTACTGAGTCAAGACGTTCAGGGCCAGATAAAACAGTTGGCTGGGAATGTGAATATTCTCCAGGAACTTCTGGATGTTGGGCGACAGGTTGGGGTACTCCTCGAAGTCCGGCAGCGGAAGAGTCAAGGGCGCACTGTCAGCCAGTCTCTTAAACTGCGTCGTCAACGACGGCCAGAAGAACAGAAACAGGGGCAAGGACAGGAGATGCGAGTAAAACAGGTTCTCCTTCCAGTGCGGGCCATATTTCTTGTAAGTCTCTTCCGTGTAAAGGCCCATGACAGCCGATAAGCTCTGGGCAACGAAGAGAATGGCAAGGCCAATGCCAAAGTCCGAGTTCTTCTCGTGGGACTCTTTCTTGCTCGATCCCTAGAGACTCTGTCAGTACCCGTACCCTGCATGGACGTCCAGTAGGTTGTTGGTAGCCGTACCTTGCTTTGCGCATCAGACCAGGCCGCCGTGATCACGCCCACAGTGAGGAGAAGCACGGCTATAATCTGGATTTTGGAATATCTCTTGCCCCATAAAGCTCCAGCAATCATGGTGGTTATGCTACCTCCTGAGCGCAGGATAATATGTACGGGCACCGAGATGTCGTAGCTAAAAGCATGGTTGTTGAGGACATTGATGGCAAAGAATAGCGCAATATTGATCAACCATCGTTTGAGCGGAACTTGGTTCTTCTTGAGGAAGAAGGGCGGACGGCTCCAGTCGATCTGGGACGGCAGGCCGACGAGGGCGACGAAGAGGAATTGGACAAAGGTCAAGAGTGTTCCTGTGAATGTTGGGGAGACTGTTAGCCCATATTCCCCGATCCGTGGTATCCGGGTTGCAAGCCATGCGAGCCCGCTCGGCTAGCTAATGACAGAGAGAACGTACCGGCACCGGGCTCAACCTTGATGATGGACTCGAGCGCAAAGACATTGGAACAGCACCCTCCAAAGATGAGCGAGAGCATAACTCCTATAGCTATCCATTGCGGAATCGTCTCGATGAACATGCGCCCAGCGAGCGCCATGGCGCGGCTGAAGAACGGACGGTTGTCGTCGATTCCGTACATCTCAGCCTTTTCGAGGGACGGAGCCGCATTGATGACACGGGGCGAAGGTTCCGACAAAATGGTTCCTCGGTCGTCGCGGTTCTTGTTGCTGTTTACCGCATTGTGCTGCGGTTTAGGCGCCTGACGCCGACGTGAGGCGGCCATGGCGAATGGGCAAATCGGGGCATAAAGCCGCTACTGGAGCGTTGGGGGCGACGGAGTGAGCTGCCGGTGGGGCGCAGTCGGCAATGTGTAGGTAGAGGTAGGCAAGGTTCGGGTTGTTGGTCGTGATGTCTTTTGGCACTCAGCCTGGAAATAGTTCGAATCGCCCTGTCCGAAGGAAGCAACTTGTTCGTCTGATGGCGGGGCAGACAGGGAACGTCCGTCAGTCGGGTACCTGTAGCGGTTAGGTGTAAGGTAGGTGGTTCCCTGACGTCGAACCTTGGGCCAGATCTTCCCAAGAAAAGCAAGCGTATGTGGGAGGTGAAACAGTCAAAGGGAGGAACAGATGATGATCGATATTTCGGACGGGATGGAGAACGCGGTGGAAGAAATATGTACAGATGGTCCGGAACCTTGCGTCGAGGCTGGCAGCAAGCAGAAGCAACCAAGTGGACTCGACATCAACTTTATGGAATTTCCAGGCTCAAAGCTCCATGACGACCCGACGTCGATTCCATTCGCTGGAATCGGTCCAACGTTACCTTTTTGTAAACTTCCATGTGGCCACAATTCGGGATGGTGGAGATTTGCCCGTGGCAGGTTCAAGCAGATTCGGCCGGCTCGACCCACCATTTCCACCGCGACAGCACCACCACGATAAGCACGAGCTTCAGCTGAAACAGGCATTTCATTCGCAGGGCCAGCGTCCGGGCGGGACGGGAATGTGAAGGTGGGGGATCGATGGTCGGGTGGCTTGACATCTGCCGAGCCAGGATCACACTCTTGAATAGGTATCGTCGCCGAGCCCGCCGACTTTCACCTGCTCAAGCTTCAAGTTGTTCATGTCCGTCGTGACGGTCTCTTGTGATGTTGTGGAATTTGATCTCTATGCGGTTTCCGAGATTCCGTCCGATCTGATTAGCCTCCAGATTCGGCTTGCATGCCGAGATCTTGGTATGGGACGGGATGATATATTGGACGCTGCCCGTGACGAGAGACGGGAACAATGCAGCCAGAGCCAACAGACCGCGAGGTGAGATCTTCGCTGACACTAACAAAAGATTATCGCTTTATCGAGTACCTGCTTTGGAAATGAGTGGTATCCAGATACCTCTAGATATGTGTGCAGAAAGAGTTAACTTCCATCAGCCAAAATGCTCTCGGATTGAACATGCCCCTGGCTGTTGTAAACAAATCCAAAAGCCGGTCATCAAGGTGCCTGCCGTTGCAAGGGACGACCAAGCCATGATATTTTCATGCGATAACCCTAACCCGAACACCACTGCATTTGCCCACTGATCGCGGACCCTGGCCGTTTGTCCCGTATCCCGCCCAGGAGGCAGCGACACACCAACGTCCTCAGGAAGAAAGGTTCACTTACACCAACTTCATACCTCCCTTTTGAGAACATTTTTGAAAGAAAACACCAAACGATATCGAGCCTCGGAGCAACAGCATCATTCTCCCATTGAACATTCGAGTTGGCCACTCAAGTTGCCGCGCTGGGTCAACCTCCTTCCGCTCTTTACTACTGCAATCGCCGTGTTAAGCTTTCACATGAGATGAGGCCACCACAATGTGAGTTCCTCTCCATCAACCTCCTCATACACCAGACAAAACACTAACACATGGGCCCAGGACCGTATTCTCCCTCGTCATCATCAACAAGGCCGGTGGCCTAATCTACAACAGGACATTTCACGAAGGTGGCCTGAATAAGATCAGCACCAACGACTATCTCGTCCTGGCCGGAACCTTTCACGGGTATGTTGTCACTATCCATTGTTCAGCGCACCACTCACGTATCCCACCGAACTTCATTCTTTTCCTTCACCATGCTAACACGTCCCTTCTTCCCCCAAAAAGCGTCCACGCAATCACAGCCCGTCTAAACCCCGTCAAGTCCACTCCGGAGCGGCCCCTATCCAACAGCGTCCCCGGCGTGCCAGGCGGGATCCTGACGCGGCCGGAGCCGCCTTCGGGGCTAGAGGTGCTCGAGTCGGAGAACTTCCGGCTGCAGTGCTTCAACACGCTGACGGGGGTCAAGTTCCTGCTGTTCACGGACACGACGCAGACGAACGTGGACGTGATCATCCGGCGCATCTACGAGCTCTACTCGGACTACGTCATGAAGAACCCGTTTTACCAGCTCGAGATGCCGATCCGGTGCGACATGTTTGACCGGAAGCTGTTGTCGCATATTAGGGAGGTTAACAACAGGTAGTGGTAGTGAGTGGGGTCATACAGCACGAGGGATGAGAAAGGGGGGGAGGGGAGGGAGGAATGGTATTGAGTTATAATGTTATGTCTGTCAGACGGAGTTATGTGGCGTTTATCTTTTGGGAATGATGGGGGCGGGCGGGCAAAGGGTCATGATAGAACAGCTTCATGCTCAAAAGATGGGCGGTAGGTAGTTGCCCATGTAATACCATAGCGAATCTATTCTACACAAATACAGCCAGCGCCCATGGTAGTCGTCCCTTGCAAAGCGCCATCACTCATATTCCCGACCCGCCAACAATGAGTCGACTAGGAGGTATCCATCTTGTCGCCATCATCTGATTTGCCGGGCTTGTCATCATCCTTTTTGCTGCCGCTGCCGCTCGGCTCGCCGTCCTTGCCTAGCAATGGTTCCGACTCGCCAGCCTCTTCCTTGACGTCCTCCAAGCTCGCCTTTTTCGCCGCCTCGGCCTCCTCCTTGGCGCGCTTCTCCTGGCGTGCCTTCTCTTCCTCCATACTCATTCTCAGCGCAAGGGCCAGCTCGGGGTCGACGGATGGATCGATACCGAAGGGGAAGTCCTCGCTCGCCGCGCCGCCAGCATCGCCACCAGCGCCTCCGCTACCGCCAGCAGCAGCCTCGCCGAGGAGGATAGGTGTCGAGATGAGCTGGTCGCTAAGAAGCTTGCTGCTCGGTGGGATGACGACCATGTTGGATCCTTCGCCACTCTTGACCTCGCGGTTGAAAGCCTCGAGCTTCTTCACGTTCTCGTCGTCGATGTCGCCGAAAAGCACAAAGTCGACGCTGGTGTTGTTCTTCTTCATCTTTTTGGCGAGCTTAATGAGGTCGCTTTCCTCTTCCTCGATGGGCGAGCAAACAAAAATGACGATACGACCCCGCTGGGACTTGTTCTGTCGGTGCTTGAGTGCGAGCTGTAGTAGGTAGAATAGCTAGTTAGTTGTCTGTAGCTTCCGGGGAAAGATAAAGAGGAGATGTCACATACCCACGCCACCTGGATAGCCCTCGACAAGTGTGCCGAGCCACGGATGTTCTTCTTCGTCCGGTGCAGACCCTCGAGGATCTTGCCTTGGTCCGTTGTGAGCGTCACCAGGACCTCAGGACCCCTGCCGGCCATGCTCATGAGACCGACCGACGACTCGGGGTTGCCTTGTACGACGTTTTGGAAGATGATGTTAACAGCGTCCGTTTGCGCGTCGTAGCGAGTTGGTGGGTAATCTCCATTGCGACTGCTCTCGCTGTTGTCCACCACAATCATTACCGCTTCGAGAGGCATCTTGTTGGGGTTTGTTCAACTGCAAATTATTGATGGATGTCGCTGTGCTATGCAATTTGGTAAGAAAATCGTAGCGTCGCTCGAGGTTGGTATGGAAAAGGTTGGATTAGTGGGAAAGGTTGTTGATGGTTTGATGGAAAGATGATGTTCAGTGACAGGTCGGGGAGCTCCTGCGTAAGGCGGTTCAGCCTAGCTGCCCGCGTAGCTGCCGTTACGCTATCAGGTGGAGGTAGGTACGTACCGCTCAGTTATGTCAGTGACCTGGAGCTGCTGCAGCTGCACGCCCCCGTGTGTCTAACGCGCCTCGAGTGGTCAGTGCTTTCGTTTGTTTACTCTAGGAAATGTCGACCACTCACAGCACAGCGTACCATTCAATCCAACCTGCAACACACTTCGAGTCGCTCATCCATCAAGAATACACCGATTAAAACATCCACACTTTTTCCGCTAACGATTCCGACCCATTCCTTTCTAAAAGCCCAAAATCACAGCTGACAGAATTGCCATCATCCGATCTACGGCGACCATGTCTCCAACCACCGGCGCGAAACGCAAGTCGGACGAGGCCGACGTTCCTGACGACGAGCACAACACCGGCCTCGCGGCGCCGTCGCTTGACAGAAGTACAACAGAAAACGGACGACCAATTGGCAGCGAAAGTCCCGCGAAGAAGAAGAGGCGAACAGGAATCACGGCCGCGCAGAAACAAGCGCTGATTGACAACTTACAGCTCGAGCGTAAGTTTATCCCCCAATCAAGCCAGTGACGATGCGCGTGGCCGACTAATAAATGTGTAGTCACCGAACGCGCTCGCAAACTCCGGGCGAACTACAACATCCATGCGCAAAGTCTTCGAACCCGCATCGAAATTCGCGTCAACCGCATTCCCATGTCCCTTCGCAAAGTGAAGATGGGCGATCTCATACAAAAGTACTCTACCGAACAGCAACAGAAGACCACGACCACATCCAACGGTCCCCCGGTACCACCGAAAGATGCGACAACATCACGCCCCATTTTCCAGCGACCAGCGGTCGCTTCTCGACCTACCTCTCCCATACGGCCCAGTCCAATTAAGACAATCAGGTTAGTCCCCCTTTCTCCTGCTCGGGTGGAGGGATTGCCTTCGATATTAACAACACCCAACCACAGCCACGAAGTCTCCGGTCGCGACAAAGAAAACTACGAAATCGAGCCCACAAACACGGAAAAACGACAACGTCTCGGCCCAGCAGCCGACATCCTGCGCAACCACCCCAACCAAGTCCTCTCGCCGACATCATCCAACTCGCGCCTAGCACCACGAGGGGAGCGCACCCCATCACCTACCAAACAACACCACCACAACCAAACGGGCATCGGCGCGCGCCCAATTTCCCCAACCAAACCCACAGCCGGCACAAGCGCATCCGCCCTCCTCAGCAACATGGTCGAAAAGGCGCGATCGCGAGCAAACAGCCCACAAAAGCATTCAACAATAACAGAGATGACGCAAGCCAGCGCGGCGAAATCCAGAGCCAGAGCGGCAACCACTTCGACGGCTTATGCTGCCACACGGACATCGCGGAGAGTTAGTGGCGCCAGCGTGTCTAGTGAGGCAAGCAGCACGTCATCAGTGGCGGCTCGGAGGCAGCGGCCGGCGACGGCCACGGGCGCGAGGCCTGGAACGGCGGCTAGTGCGAAGAGAGGTGTGATGAGTACCATCAAGAAGGGTGTGGCGGCGACGAAGAAGGCGGCCGGTGGTGGGACGAAGGAGAAGGCGGAGAAGGCGGCGGCGGCGGCGGCTCCCGCTGCGTCGGGGAGGGTGTTGAGGAAGAGGGGGTGAGCCGTTTTTAGTTTCGGTTTTGCGTGCTGGCTTTCGTATGTCTTTTCATTGCTGGTGTATGGATATGGAGGGAGCCCGTTCAGGTTGTACGCTGTGGGATTAGCATTGTTACGGTTTGGCGTTGGTTTGTATAGATATCAGGACCGCCGCTAGGTGTCAGCTGCGCAGAGTTCGGCATTATGTATTAGGTCTGGAAGGGTACATTGAGGGACAGTGGGACATTGCAAATTCAAGTCCTTTTATCATTTGGCGCTTTTGTCTTTCGCTACTCGTCAGGGCTAGAAACGCCTCTTCCCACACCCACAAGCGTTTAAAGAAAGCTTCTCTTCCTCGGTCCAAAGCGAAATAGCCAGTACAATCCTGATAGCCCTCTTAATATCAACAGAACTTTATCATTAACTCCCGCCTGGTTTAGGCGCCTCTGCAGTCTCTTTCAATACCGAAGTCGAAGTCGAAACATTTAGCTTCCTTCGCCCTTCTTCTTCTTCTTGTCTTCCACGAGTTCTATGTTGTCTTCGGGAACCTCCTTATACTTTTCGAGAATGAACTCCTCAATCTCGCCGCTGACATCGCCCTGGACGACAATCTCCTCTCCGCCGCTGGGTACCTTGGTTACCGAAGAGCCGGTAGCGAACTTTTTGCCAAAGTCCTTGGCAACCTGTTGCATAATTTGTCCTAGTCAGCAATCTGTTCCTCGAGTATCATGCGTATAGGATCCCTAGCATGGAATAAATCGGCAGGTCGGTACGATGTTGTTGTACAGTACCTTCTTCAACTCCAAGCCAAACGCCTCCAACCCGCTCACCGAAGTGACGTATTTCCTCTTGTTGCGCTCAATGCGCTTGATGGTCACCACGCTGTTGGCGCGCTTGTCGGCCTGCTTCTGCTCGGCCGCCTCGGCCTTGGCCGCCTTCTTCTTGGCGTCCTTCATGGCCCGCTCCTGCGCCTCGACTGACAGCGATGCCATCTCGGCCTCGAGCACCTCTGGAGACCATATCCTCGAGTACATGGTCGGCTGGTTCTTCTCGAGCCATTGCTGGCACTTCTTGACGGTTCCGCCGTATTCGCAGTACTAGAATTCGGGGAAGGTGGGTTTCGGTGGTGAGTTGTCGTCGTTCTTGCGCGGGCGGTTTCTCTACGGGACGAAGGTAGGGATATATGTGGTAGGGGAATATTATCATACCTCGGGCGGCAGGGAGCACACTGGAATTTTGAAAGAGGAGATGGTCAGCGCAAGGTTTCGTGATATGGTGGTCAATGAATGGGAGCAGAAAGCGCAAATGTTGATGCAACTTACCACCGCAATAAACAACATGACGTCCTGAGAGTTCAGTCATGGCTGGATCTGGGAAGAGAGAAATTGGGCGAGGTCGCGAAAGGTATGGGTCGAGGGTACAAGTCTGCAGTCTATCGTTGTTCAGTTGGGTTTAGCCGATGTATATATCGACTGACTATGTCGGAGTCTTGTCGCGAAAGTTGATGTTTTGTTCCAGGGGACCGGACAGGCATGCAAAGCGGATCATGGACGGGGAAGCTTGTTGCACTTGCCCCTCCTTATCGCGGCTGGGAACGTTCGCGATTGGAATTGCGGGGCTTCTCTTTCATCTCATGGCGGGGCACATCCGACACGGCACACTGCCGTGACGACAGCGTGGGCCGGTTGGAGAAGAAGCACAGACCATTTGGAGTTTCGATGTGTGCTCCACAACTGACAGTTTCAAGCTTTCTAAAGTCCGGGGAAGGTCTGTGCACTTTTGAAATAGCCGCCGAGCCCAGACTCCAGCCGCCGTCTCGCTCTCTCTTCAATCTTTGTTACCGCCGTGAGCGCCGTCAACCCGTCACTGCCACAGACGGCGGGCATCACTTCCGCGTTACTTCCGCATAAATGTCGCCGGCTTCCAGCCTCCTTCACCGCACCGCATCGGACGCGGCGTCGGCTGCCGATACGGACGCCACCGAGCATATGGTCGGATGCGCTGTTGGGACACGTCGAGACTGAAGAAGGGGAAATTGGTGATTTGATGAATCACAGCTGAAGAGACTATGTGAAGTCTCTTCAGGCGCTAGAGGTCTCATCACCAAGTCATCACCTACACATCCAGCAGATCAAGCTAAATATCAGACTATAACCTCTCTATCCAGAGTGGTGGAGTGATCTCCTGACGAGGGAAAGGAGTATTGTCAATGGGCAGGGGTACATCAGTCGATGGAGAAATGTTTTCCGTGACCAACCATTCGAGCTTTTCACGACACTGCCTCAGTTCCTCTCATCGATCCTCGGCTGCACCATCAACGGGATCCAGGGTTACGTCGATCTCCAGATCACGAATGCAAGGGACCATGTTACCTGTTTAATCCTTCACGGTTTTGCGGTGTCTGCAACTCTTCACCGTCTGCAAATCCCCATCTTCAATGCCTTCATGCTGACCTGTTTGGGAATTACAGAGGTTGGAAAGTGTACCCGTATGGAGTCTACACTAGCAAAATCTGGTGGAGGACAGGACAGACTCCAATCACGGTGGATGACTCGATATTCTAAGCGCCCAGCTGGGTGCCGGCGTCGTTCCCGACCATGCCATTGGTCGTACCGTCTGCAACGCTGTCGATGGACAGGCCCATTGGCGCGCGCCTTGTCTTTGCATGGCACGCTTGGTTCGCCGACTTCTTCTTGGCCGACCTTCTGCGCAACCTGATTCGGTCGCACAATCTTCTCCCGCCCTCGTCAACCGGCCATCTTGGACTCGTGGTGCTGCCCAACCCAAGCTAGTTGCGGTCGACTGCTGTGAGATACTGGGAAGAGCGAAGCCAAGTCTCGCCGACTGCCAGGGCCCGGCCACCAGAGTCCGAGTCACGTCAACGGGCGACAACGGGGGCGCAATATGGGAGAACATGGGACAATATCAGCGGGAATCCGGCTTTCATATGGTGCTAGAGAGCGTGCTAGCCGCTGTGGTGGGAATGGGCGGACAGCCAGTCCAAGTGGACCCTGCCGTCGCCATCACACACCTTTCCATCCGTCCATCTTTGTCTCTTATAATATCGCGTGGCCCAGACCGGCTGCGTTGAGCAGTCTCGTTTAGATCTCCATTCTCTTCTTACGCCTTTCTGCGCAAATACAGGAATAGAGCTTCGTTGACCGAAGCCGGTCCATTGTTTAACCCCCCATTTCCATACTCTTCGTCTTACTGTTGCATTCGCATCGACGCCGGCGTCATTCCATTTTCCCGGTCAGCTCTATTTCCAGTCTTTTTAATCAATATCAGAGCGACCCTATATTACCACGACACCAACACCATGTCGGACCTTCTGATTTTGCCCAGCACTACATACCGGCCACCCTCCCCGCAGGGCAGGCGGAGGATGGCCCGGACTCTTAATCCTATAATGGAGGAACCTGAACAGACCGATACCGAGACACAGCAGCACAAACACTTCAATTTCCAGAACAATAACAGCAGCAACTGGCCAGTCAACCAAAAGATCGAGCAGTGGCTTGCCCCTTTTTCTCCCTTGAGCGACCATTTCCCTACGCCACGGGGCCTCCATTTCCTTGCTGCCCCGATCCTGCCGGCAACACCGTCGTGCATTTCGAGCTACCGCGGGCCGGACACGGATGCCGACGACACAAGTTCAGAAACTTCATCCTCCAACCCTTCTTCGGGAGCGTGGAATGATAAACGATCAAGCGCCATGACTGATGTGACGGAATTTGACGACCTTTATGACATATCTGATGAGGAAACGCAGCGCAAGGAGATGCTGCAAGCAAATGGTATTGGTCGCCACATGAGTTCGAGGAGGAGTCTACGGAGGTCATCGAGAGCTTCAATCGGTCAAAGATTGTCACTGTCCCGTTTGGTTATCCCAGCCGATATCCAGGCGGATGCGAAGAAGAACATGACTTCGCCCATTCCACCAACACCACCATCCGCTATTGCCATGTCCCCAGCTGTCAAGTCACTGATGGAGCTACGACAAATCCAGGAGATTCCCAACGTCTCCGCACCCCCATCCCTTGATGGCAGCATCAACTCGGAGGAGATGGCTGCCATGTCCGCGCCGCCGACCCCCTTGATCGGAGCCCAGGACAATGTTGATGAGGACTGGTCGGGAGTTCGTCTCCAGCCTGGCGCATTGGAGACGCTCCAGGCCCTTTCCTCCAACCACCAGTCGGAATACGAGGAGGCACCGGCCCCGGAGCAGGTTATCGAAGTGCCCCAGGAGATGTCTCAGGAAATGTCCCAGACTCGTCAACCTTCCCGTTTGATGACCAGCCTCAACCGGGCCCCATCCGGTCAACGTCGGTCCCTTGCTGAGCTTAGCAGGCTCTCAATCCCTTCCCCTGGTGGTTTCTTCTCGGAGCTCTCTTCAGCAACCCGGCGCACATGGAACATGGGTAGCCAGGCAGAGGAACCCTACCCATACCAACCCCCTACTTCGACCACTGCCGAGAACTTCTACAAGATCCCTTGGCAAAACGCCCCCAACACCATTCCCCCACCACCCCCTCGGCCGCTTCACCTTGATGATGGACCTTCCAACATTGTCGAGCGCGTAGTTGAGGTTCCTGCGGGTTTGAACCCAGAGGAGCTTTCGACAGCAGTTCGGGTCGAGGCCACCCCAGTCACTGCAGTCAGGTTGCCTGCTGCGGAGCCTGAGGAGCTCGCCCTTGAACAGATCGCCGAGGAGACATTTTCCCCCATGGTCGATAACGAGATCGTTGCTAACGAGATTGTCGACGATTATGATGCCAAGTATGTTGCCGAACAACAATCGACTTCGCTCTCCCACATCGAACGCACCGAGCTGTGGTTGATGGCCCAGAGAGCCTACCTCCAAGGCGTCGTTGGCTTCTCCGATGAGCCTGAAGTTCCCGAACACCTCAAGCTCGGCCGTGAGGAGCCAGAGGCTGGGGTGGAGGTGAAGGTGGAGGAGAAGGTAGAGGAAAAGACAGAAGAGCCAGCTAAGGAAACCACTGTCGAATCCGAGACGAAGCAGAAGAAGTCTGTCCGCTTTTCCGAGATCACCATCAAGGAGACCGTTCCCAAGTCCCTTCCTTCCAAGCTGGTGCGCATGGAGAATGCCTTCTACCGCGCCTTCACCGATGCCGCCGTCAAAACTTGCCCCAGCGACGTCTTCGTCAACCGTCAACCACGCTTCGAGGCGCTCCAAGCTCAGCGTGTCGCCCTCAAGGATGCTCACCGCAACCAGCTCCTTGGCAAGTTCCAGCTGTCTGTCGTCCCTCAGTCAGCCAAGAAGCGCATGAGCGCCAATGTGGCTCGTGGTGATGATGTCCTCGTCGATGACCCGGAGAAGCTCCGTGCCGAGAAGGAGGCCGAGGCTAGAAGCCAGATGAACATGGCCACCTGGCACGTCGCCGCCACCAAGCTTCTTAACGGTGGCCATCTCATCTGCGCGCCCGTAGCCAAGCGCCTCGCGCGCCAAAGCCGCTTCGCCCCCGGCGCCGACGGCGTCAGCCGCGACCGCGCTCGCATCCTCGACCTCGCCGGCCAGGGTGCCTGCGATTGGGCCTGGCACTGCGCGCTGCAGTACCCCAACACCAAGATCTACACCGTCACCACCAAGACGCTCCGCCAGCTGAGCAACAGCAACATCCGCGGCCCGCCTAACCACCGGCAAGTCGCCGTCGACCGCCTCGGCAAGCTCCCCTTCTCCGACAACCAGTTCGACCTCATCTCGGCCCGCGAGCTGCACGCCGTGCTCAAGCTCTTCGGCGAGAACGGCGCGGACGAGTGGGACGCCTGCCTGAAGGAGTGCATGCGCGTCCTCAAGCCGGGCGGCTACCTCGAGTTCTCCGTTCTCGACGCCGACATCATGAACGCCGGCCCGCTCGGCAACGCCAAGGCCGTCGAGTTCGGCTTCGCCCTGCAGACACTCGGCTACGACCCCAACCCCACCCGCTCCTTCATGGCCCGCCTCCGCCGCGCCGGCTTCGACGACATCCGTCGCGCGTGGATGTGCATGCCCATGGGCCCTAGTCACTCCACCAAGCCCCCCGCGCCGCCTCCCAAGGCTGAGACCCCGGGCCTCCCTCCTGTCACCATCAAGGACAGCGACAGCGGCATCGGCATCGACCTCTCCAACTCTTCCGCTGAAGGCCCCAAGACCCTCGAGCTCGAAGCCATGGTCTCCGGCTCCACCGACAACGTCGCCGCCATCGCGGGAATCGCCGCCGGCTGGAGCTGGGAGCGCTGGCTCCTGCGCGCGGAGATGGAGAAGGCCGCTGGCGAGCTTCGCTTGGCGGATATGGTCACCCCCGGCGAGGCCATGCGCGAGGCCGGCAAGATGATTGCTGATGTGCATGCCGTTGTGGAGGAAGGCAGGAATGTTGGGTCTGGGTTCCGCATGCTCAGGGGGTATGCGAGGAAGCCCAGCACCAGCTTGGCGGCCAGGGAGAGGGAGGTGAAGAGGCAGAGGGAGATGGATGGTGAGAGGGTGGGGTTCATTGATATGGTGCTTGATACTGATAGTCTTTGCTGAGAGGGGTGATGGGGAGTGGTTTTGTTTCGTTCTGGTGGGTGGGGTTTATAGTTCTAGATGGACAGTTAAGGTTACTGGGGAGGGTTTGATAGTGGACAGTGGACAGTTCTAGATGAACGATTGATATTCTCCTTTGTTGATCTCCAGATTGTCTCCTACTTTATGTAGCAAGTAGTATGAGTTGGTGTATGGAGTCATACTATCAACTTGTGGTGAGATACGAAGAGCACAAAGCGTCATCCGGGCAGTTATTCATTGTTTACGCAGCTGTGATGTCCTGGGTCAACCAGTCTTTCATCTTTTTAATAGCTAGTTTTCCCCTGACAATCCCTCCTTGTTATAGCCCACGAAAATCATACATGACACTGAATGAAACTGCAACTGGTTGTTAAACACCAGGTCAAAAGGATGTACCGTCATTAGAAGGAAAGTTGATACCGGTGATTACCACCATCACCACCACTACTACCTTATATCGCGGCAGTCGTTGTCGGTATCGTCGCTGTTGCTGTTGTTACTGTTGTTGCCGTTGTTGCTGTTGTTGCTGTTGTTGCTGTCGACGGGTAATTGGATTTGCGATGCAATAGTCAGCATTTGATTTAAAATTGGGGTGCAGCTATGCTTGGGAGTGTCATGGGCGTTGTGGCAGTGAAGATGGTTGGTTGGAAGAGGAAGGTTGGAAGACGTTGAGCCTCGGAGAACTTCAGAATTTTCCGCTTCAGTAGGTCCCCCGCTTCTTTGACCTTCTCTCTTTTTCTCCCTCCTTTTCTCCCCACCTTCCCTTTCTCATCCATCGTGCCCTCCTGAAAGTGGAAGTTTCTGACCCTTCTTCCGGGCCTTGCAGCGGCCCGGGAGCTTGGTGTCCTATCCCGGCCTAACGGTTAACAACGTTGTGATACACTTAAGATACCTTAACCGTTCTGTATAGACCCCCATATTTCCGTTAATATCACTCGCCTCTTCTTTTCGAAAGTCTCCCAAGAAACGCCGAAAGACGCCGAGATCTTAGCCTTTTGACACTGGTCCTTAGCTTTCGTCCTCTGGCTATCATTTCTTCGAGCATTACGAGTTCCGATAGTAGCCGTCTTAGTATTGCCTTGAGCTTTCGAGAAGACGTTGGACGTTTATCCTCATGAGCTTCCGAATGCTGCTTTGCCTGAAGACATTTTGATACCTCCGCATCTGAACAGCCATCTGATACAGCATTTTCTCCGAGTGGCAAAGGCTCAATTGCATCGTCTTCAACTTGGTCAGAGCTCCGATTGGCGTGATAAATATTTGAATCCTCGCGGCTCTTGCCCTTGTCAGTTTGCTTCAATAATGTTTCTGAGAGGCTTTCAAGGGCAAGTGTTTCCAGATGCGCAACCACATGAGACATATAAAGTTTGTCCGATTCGATCTGGTGGCTGCAGAGCGGGCACTTTCCGATGGCCTTGCTGAGATCAGAGACACTGCATAGCTGCACCAGATTGCTATAGTATCTCTCGGTGATTTCATCTCCATGGGTAGATGAGGAATGTTCCAAAGTTTTTCGGCAGTGTAAAATTCATGGGGACAGCCGAAAGGACACTTCCAAAGCCTCCAGTGATCGAGCCGCATGTGTTGCTCCCAATCTCCACGATGGCTGTAAAATTTATTTGGCATCTGGCAGTCTTCGACTACGCAAACGTAGAGGTACGGCTGGATGTCTTTTAAGATGTGCGTCCTAAATTTTGATGCTGGGCATTAGCACTGACCTTTGAGTTGAGTGAAGAATGGTGTTGGACTAGTCTTACTTCCAGTTGTGACCTATCGATACCACCGAGCAACACAATGGGCACTGAGAAGGCCCTGTGGCGGAGGCCTCGAGTAGAGGTGCCACTTGTAATGTATCCAAGTCCGCTCTTGCGGATACACGAGATATCACCAAGACCTCGTCTGTCGAGCTCTGTCCAGTAGCCTTTGACTGGGTTATTCCAACGCTTGCGTCCAAGGCCTTTGTAGGTTGGCTGGAGTGCTCCCTCCGACGACGGAGATGCTCCCTTCGCAATCTTAGAGATTGTTGTAATCTCTTCTTCAATACGTCGCCGATCTCGGATCATTTTCTGCACAAGTCTGAAATCAGGAGCCTCGGAGCCTCCCGCGACTGCTCCATGCCCGGACAAGGACGGGCCATATGAATCAGGGCTCCGCATGATGATATTGAGTCGAAAAAGACAGTCGATTGAGTGTTTAATGACATCCAGCGGTCCACATGTAGATGGCGCTTTCACAATCTCATCCTCAGAGATGCAGTAAGCAATTTCGTCATCAACGGGATTCAGACTCAGGCACTCGGGACTCAGTGCCTCAATCGACGCATGGTTCTTGAGCAGTGTCGCAGCTAATATAGGATTTCACAACACAGTTAATGACTTTTTGAGCTTAATTTGACTCGATAAGCATAAGTCAAGGGGACCTGTGGGATGTCTCTTTACCTTCAGTGGCAGAGAAGCTAATTCTCCCAAGAATGGAGATGATACGATCATTGGCGGAAGATGCATCTCGTAGTCTGTATTTGATGAAGCCAGGTTTATCATGCTGATGCGGTTTCAATCGCGCTGACCAGAGTTTGAGCCGTGCCAGCTGGGAGCTTGCAATAGATGCGTGTAACGGGCTGATCTTATCCAGATCACAGACGAGGGTATCGAGAGCAGAAAAAATCGAAACAAGGAGGGAGGAGACGAGCGTTGAGTTCCCCATCTCTAGAGATTCTGGTAATTAGACGAAGAGTGTGTATCTCGAGAGTTGAGTAGAGAAGTTGATGACGGCTTTGAGGTATATCCGGTGGTTTTCGCCTCAGTACCCCAAAGACGAAGGTGTCATCAAACAAGGACATGTGCCCTCAGGCATGAAACCCCAAACATTTCAGCTTGTGAGTGGCGTATCAACATAGCCACCTTCATTATATCCAATAAAACTGCTATACATGAAAGCCACTTGAAAACGGGGAGGGGTCATGAGTACACTACTTTTGGGTTGGGCTGAACAAATATCATCTGGTGCGCACATCTAACTGCGCCCAAAATCTCAACTGCAAAGTTCAGCTATCACTGCCTAATTTCGAAATCTCACACAACATCTGTCTTCGCGCAGGAACCCGTTATACGATAGTGTCAGGTATGGAGGTCGCGGGTCTTGTTCTCGGCGTGTTTCCCATTGCAATCAAAGCAATTCAACAATACAGGGACCTATCATCTTCCCGCAAGAATGCCACACGGCTTTTGGGCGCGCTCGAGACAGGGCTGGTGAGCGAGCTTCAAATTTTCAGGAACACTTGCGAAACCCTCCTGGAAGACATCGTGCTCAGTTCTCAAGTTAAAATAATGCTCGACGATCCTTTCGGCCCCGAATGGAAGAATAAAGAGTTCAACAAGAAACTTCGTCTTCGGCTCCGGGATTCTTATCATGCTGTGGAGAAGGGAACAGAGGAACTGAGAATTGAAGGAGAAATTGGGAATTACCTCTAGGCAAGATCTCAAGGTATTTACTCCTGCTTTTCCACTTGTTAAATGACATACATCTTTTCTACCAGGCACGGACCTACGAGATTGCTATACATCTCTGGGTGTGCCGCCTTGTGACTCCCCATGGAACATGATGCTGACTAGCAAGTCAAGAACAACCTCACCACTAGACTGAATGAGGTCAAGATAAAAACTGCCTTCAGCCTCTTCCACAAGGAGTATGACGCCATACTCGCGGAAATCAGTTCGGTGAACAACCGCCTCAATACACTCGCCAACGGCAGCAAAAAGCTAGAGTTTTCTCGTCGATACCGCTCACAGTGGCACTTCACCAAACTCTTGCGAGATCTTTCTGGAAGCTTGTTCACAGCTCTGGACGGAGCTACAGTAGTCTGCTGTGCAAGCCCGCATGACGCCTGTCTAAGATTGAGCTTGAGGGATTTGGAGATGGAGCCTGGCAGCGTCGAGAAAGAGGTGATTAAGGAGTTGGACTTTCATGTGGCGCTGGGGCTATATAACAACACGGCAACTAGCGGTTACCCGACGCAAATTCCATCAGAATGGTATAACCTTTCGATCAGAATTGCCGAAAGTACCTCTGAAGAATCTGGTAAAGGAGGATCGCAGCCAGAGCCCCAAAGCTTTAGGCAAAGACTCACCAAGAGAACTAGGGCCACACGCACACTCATTCGAGAGTCCCTCAAACTGATCCTCAAACCGAAACCCGAGCTCATGAGCATGGCGCAATCACCGTCAGGTCTTGGATTATGTCAGATGATCAGACTGCAACAGATGAGTCCCACAACAGCAAACGACCGTGTGCTTTACGGGTTCATCCAGGACCGAGAAATCCACCGCTTGTTTGGCTTATACGCACCAGTGCTTCAACAGTCAGGAAATGATAGGTGTAGTCGGGTGCCTCACATACCTCGGCTGCTTCATACCCTCCCTACTGATTTTACTCTGCGTCAATTGCTTCAGCGAGATGTTGCGTACCCAGGGGTAGTCTTACTTGGATTCCCAGGCAAATTACAGCTAGCTGTACTTGTTGCCATCAACGTTCTGCACCTTTACAACACCCCTTGGCTGTCGAAAACCATCACGCTTGACGACGTCAAGTTCCGACTAGGAAATGACGCATCCGCCACGTTATCTTCACGTTATTCCTCGTTGCCCGAGTTCGGACCATATTTCCCGTATAGACCTTTCATCTCCAAGGTCCTGCCTTCCTCTAGCCCGCCTATCATGCTCGAACCAAGCGACCTGACGGGAACACGGCCACGCGAGATGACCGCGTCGTCATTTGGTCTTATTCTGATCCAAATCATGCTCGGAAGGGTTATAGATGAACTCGGCGTCAACGCAGAGCAAAACGCCAGCATGATGACCTTCCAAGAGTGTGAGGCAAAGTGCAGCACCGGAAGGAGGTATGAAGGTGAGGTCCTCCAGGAAGCCGGGCCAGAATGCGCTTCCGCGGTAATGTGGTGTCTTCGGAGCTTCGTCAACATCGGTGGCTTGCATAACGAGAAATTTTGTCAAGAATTCTGTGATGAGGTGATTTTCAAGTTGCAGGAGGCTTTGGATCAGTCCAAGTGGTTGAACCATACGGAGGAGGGAGGTGATTACGAGAGACGATGAAAATAGTGGTGAATGTCTTAATTGATTGAAGAGAAAGAGAGACGACAACGGAGAAGGAGGACGAAGTCCGACTTATATATAGGGTAGCCATGTGTGGATCATATCCACCCTTGCGCCAAGGTAGCCAAGACATAGTGATGGCTTCAACACAAGTGACAGATGTATAAGTAGGATGGCACTTACCTGACTTGAGAATGAACCAGTTGTATGTAACAAACATGGCCAGACTCGTGATAACCTTTGTAATATCGTCTCTCGAAACATGAAACGCTTCGCCGACGGCCAAGAACACAACTTGTGCTTCACATAAATCAAGCCGTACACAAGCAAGCCAAATCTAGCCAAAAATTGGCCCAATTGGGTCAAGTTCGGGGCCAGACTTGACTTGATAAAAGTTGCAAACTTGTTTTGTTAGTTGTCATAGAGCTTCCCTAGGTTGATCCCCAGTTGTTGCTCTTTAGACACCAGTGGGCGGGCTCGCACATGATGGCAGCTGCTTTGTCATTAGCCCACTTCCGTCTCGTAAATTCCAGCATCTTGATGTTTCCAGCATTGCGCTCGAGACCCTTTAGATGTGGCGATGCCCTCAAGTAACACCCAGTCTTCGTCGTCCACATTCTTATCGCCATCTTAGTGATCATCATCATCCTCGTCTTCTTTCTCATGCTTTTCTCCTCCCTATTCTTATTCTCACATCCTCGAGTAGATGAGAGGGTTTAGGATGTCTGTACTCGGGGGTTCGGGTCGCTTTTGGTGTTGGCCAAGCTCCCCCCCCCCTTCCTCTCTCTCTCTCTCTCTCTCATGGAAAAGAGTGGCCAACACCAGAAGCGGCCCGAACCCCCGAGTACTTGTGCGGAGGGAACTCATCAAAGTTTCCGGTAAATCCCCCCCTGTAGAAAATATTGTATGATACTTGATATCTGAGTGTTGTAGCGGCTGCTATGGGCTGTCAGAAGCTGTCAGATATGTGGGAAGTGTGGGAAGACCTACGAGGGTTCAGAGAGTAAGAATAGATAGCCAGCCCTAGCACCTCGTAGACTGAAGACAGGAAGAAGCCTTTCGGATAGCCCATTATGTCCGACTGGCAAGACATAGCTGAGAAAGCCGTTGAGCTCGTGGTGCTGCTAGAGAACGAATGGGGTGGTTGGGACGAACAGGGATACTGTCTATCGTCTCCAACGTGCCAATCAGATCTTATGGTCTATAGCACCCCCGTATGATAAGACTTCTTGACCGTCCGCCTTGGATGGAGGTCTGTAAAGAACCGCGATTCGATGACGGTTTTTGGGTAGAAAGGGGGGCTGTTAGGTCTGTGCAGGACCATGGACCACACTCGCTAGGTTCACCTGCGATTTCAGGCTAGCTGCAGTTTCGAGTTAAGTATGGGGAGTGGAAAGTTGGTCACCTTTACTCTTGACCGGTCCTTCTGGCGTTTATGATAATGGATGTTGTGAAACATACTTCATAGACATCTAGATGAACGCTGGTGGAGGAATTGAGGGGATCCAGATGTTTGTTTCTTTTCGAAAACCAGTCTCTCAATGTGACCATAGGCTCGCAAGGTAGCGGTATACCTAGCTCGAGGATGGGCCGATGTCACGCCGTTGAAGCACGGCAGTCCGAGAAGTGCCGAGAATATTGGTGTTCAGGGACCAGCTGTCCCTTGTGTCGATGCTGTTGGCGGCTCTCCAAGGGTCTGATTGAGAAGAGTTCACGCTCTGTCCTGCCGCAATGCTACGGTTTGAACGGATGACAGGTGGAAGTGTGTGTGTGAGTGCTGTAAGCCTTCCAACATCACCACCCATGGTCCGCCCTGTATCGTCCGTCCATCCCATATCCCATATGTATTCTATCAATTAATATGTAGGTAGTTTCCCACCCGCCGTGCCGTTCTTGATTCCCATGCGTAAGCGACTGGACCGATGTGACCTGCACTAAGGGCTGCATGCGTCTCGCCTGTTCCAGCCTGGCATCGAGCACCTTGAGAGAGCGAAAATGAAGTCGGTCAGATTCGTAGCATCAACACTTGTATAGCTCTGTTGGCGTGCCGTCTTAGAGGCGCGGGCAAGTCAGACGCCGACATGGCCGGCTAGCTGACAGCGGGAAGTCGTGACAGCCGAAGACCGACCCGTTTCTCTCCAGTGTAAATGGCATCTGGCATCTGCCATGAGAATTGACATTGCAGTGATTGGCAAGAGACATGCGCAGGCTGTGACTGCCTGGCTGAAATGGAGGATGATGTTGTGTTGCAGTGGAATTCCGTCACACATGAAGAAGCAACTGAAGCGGAGCTCTTACCCCACAGCAAGCTCCAGTGGAGTCCCGCACTCCACAAAGCTGGCATCCACCTCTCATCCCCGATGGCAGATGGCCATTGGACCGTTGGCCGCTTGGCGGGAGATTGAGCCTGCCCCCGCCGGACATGGCCCGGACACGCTTTCAACGGTCGTCGAGACCTGGGTCAGCACATGCAGGCTAGCCCAGATGCGGCAAGGCTCCGAGGAGCCCTACACGGTGAGTTCCATTTTCACATCGCGACTCCTTCTATCGCTCCCAGGGCGTTGAGGCGTCCAGTCGACTTGGCCGACTCTGCTTCTCCCGCCGAAGGGGGGTTCCATGCGGAGGAGGTGGCTAGCCGAGCAAAAAATGCCATTTGTCGTTTGAAAGCTCAGGTGTAATATACATGTGCATGTGTGGTGGACTGCACTTGCAGACATGCAGTGAGCTGCGCAGCGGGATGGATGGATCATGGGTGGTGGATATGGTGGTGGCATACGTATGTGCGTCCAAGCTGAGCTTGAGGTTGACTTGACCGTCTGAGAAGAACCGTCTTCTCCAGAGGACGAGGTTGACGTGAAGGACGGCAAGACGGGAGTAGAGGCAGGAGTGAAGAAACATATGGGCAGATAAGAGGTTGGTAAGTGCCCGGGCATTTATCCTGGTCGGGTAGCCTGATGAAGCTGGCTAGCCGAGGTACATAACCCAAAGAAAAGCTCTTCGTCCAGAAACTTCCAGCTGTAGCTGTCAAATAGTCGGCAGCTCGGACCTCAGGAAAGCTTGCGACGTCTTTACTTCCTCCTCCATTGGCTGAAGCTGGCCGCAAGCAACCTGGGGCTGATGATAAACGCCCGTTCCTTATCTCTCTTCAGTCTTGCAGTGACGGGAATCATGTCAATGTGCCTGACTACCTTTCGGAGCTTTCCAATGCTCCTCCCACAATTCTACGCTCTTTAGGTTGTCTTTGTTCCTTCCCCCTCTTACAACTGCCTACCGTTCACACAGGAAAAGTTCCCCCATGAAAAAAAAGGAAAGACCGATGATTTGAGACAAGGTGCCCGTGCCTTCCAAAGCCCAGACAGTCTGAGGTAGAAACAAGCGCCGGCGGCAGTCGCAGCAGCCAAGACAGCCTAGGACGGGACTTGTCAGCGTTCGGACTGTGACAGGGCTCCAGCTCAGCCCGCGGTCGCTACCTTCCCGCTCCAGACTTGTAATCATCCACGGCACTGCAGTATCTCCGGGGCAGGCAGGCAGACAAGGAATAGGAAAGTGCGGGAGACTCGCACCTCCCGCTTGACTTCCATCCCACTGGCTAGCTCGTCATCTGAAACCGAACCAGAAAATCTACGTTCCGGCTTCGATCTTTGCTTGTGTCGTTCTGTCCCTCGTGGGGACTTGTCCGCATTGTTCCGTGCTCTCCTCAACAAGAAGGAATCATCTCTGTTGAGGCTGAGCAGCCGAGGCCCTGCAGTGAGCTTTCCTTCAACCCGCCCACGCACATCAGTTCCGAAAACCCACACGGCACCGCACCGAACGCTCGCCAAACAAAATCCTCCACTTCTCTCCATCGGCCACCCCCGTTGTCGCGCCTCCCCGTCATCTCCGCCTCTCCGCTTCTCCGTCCGCTTCCCCATCGGCCCATCCGCTTGATTCCCTCCTCCGTCCTCCCGTACTGCTTGTACCGACTACCGTCAACCACCCCGTGCCGCCCCGACGTCCGCGCCAGCAGAATGTCCTTGTGATGCAACGCAGCTGCCCAAGCACCCCAGCTCCCACAAGCCGCAGTCCGTAGCCCGCAGTCCGTCACAGCCCTTCGTCTCGTCTCTATCATGTTGCGCAATTCAACTCACAGAGGCCCTTGTTGATGCGTGAAGATTGGAAGAAGTTCGTTGGTGGGCTTTCAAGCTGAAGCTGGTGCAACATTGGTTGCCCAGGGCTATCGGCAGTATCCAGAGGGGACTTCATCTAGACGGGACTTCGGTGTTCTCGGTATCTTTTCACTCTCGCACCGCTTGGCCTGTTGAGCGCGCAAGCCCGTCGCTATCGCCGTCGTTGTCGGGTCCGGAGGCTTTCTCAATCTTGCTCGCCTCATCTCTTACGCACTCGGCAGTGCGACCTAGTCGGCGTCGCCCTTAGCGCCGGCCCCAATCCAAACGCTATTGTTCAACCACACGCGCCATGGCCACCGAACATATCGCGCCCCCTCCGCCTCCGGCGCCAGCGCAACCGGTCCAGTCGCCGGCCCTCTCGCGCCCGGACCACCGTAACTCATTAACTGCGCCGCCGCCCCCACCTCCACCGTCGGTCCTTGCACCTCCTCCGGGCCCCGGTCCCGGCCCCAGCCACAGTCCGGCCACCGGTACCGGACCCGGCTCCGTTGCAGCCTCCGTAGCTGCACCTCAACAGGCGTCTCATCCTCACAGTCACGCACATCCTCACGCCCACACACACGCCCATCCTCATCCATCTGCGCCGCCACCTTCGTCTGTGCCTTATGACCCATCCCTGGATCCCGCCATCAAGCACTTACTCGACCAACAAGCCGAGATCCAGGCCAAGCTGGCCGCTCTTCTTCCTCAGAGATATGGACCCAACATCAAGGTGGAGCTTGACATGTTGCGCCATAAGTACCGTGTCCTGCGCGCATATGCCGACGAGAATCGTGAGCTTTTCCGTCCCTCTGCCTTTCTTTATCCCATACCATCCATTATCCCGTCATGTCTTATTAGCCTCACGTCCCGATTTGTGGGACCAACCCAAGCGCCACCCGTGCTGATGGCGCCATAAACAGTGTCGTCTGACAAGATTCCCGTCTTGTCTGACATCGAGGAAGCGAGATCACTTCAGTATCAGTGCGAATGTATCGAGAGTGCATGTCTCGAGCACGGTAGGTCACCATCCTCCCGCCTGTTTTGTCTTGAATCTGTTCTAAACCCATCTGTGTTGCCATTAGGCGTCGATCTCGGTGACCCCAGATTTGTCGACATGCTCAAGTACGCCTTTTACCGCGACCTAGCACCGGAAGGGTATGCCGCTTGGCTAGACAGAAATCTGTCTCATTACGATCCCGTCAGCAAAGCCGTTCGGTTGCGTGACAGCTTGCCGCTGGCTTTCCGTCAACATCACTCCTACAAGTGTTGGGACGAGCGTTGCACACACTACATCTACGGATATCCTCATCCAGATGACCGGGACCAGCATGTCAAAGAGCACGCGGCCGTGTACAAGAGGGATTCAGGTCTCTCCTTCGGTGGCACCCCGCCCATGATTTTCCCTGAACCGTCGAGTGTGAGCTATAATGGTGAATATCACAAGCCGCCGTCTTCGTATCACCACCTGCCTCGTCCTAACTCCGGCCTTCAACTCGCTCCCTTGGCTACAAGTAGTCAGCCAAAGGATCACCGGGAAGTCCTTAAAAGCTATTCGTTTGTTCCGGAGAAACCTCCTGGGCCTCCCAGAGGGTCGGTCGACTCCGAGGTTGACCCATTACTTCCGCCCCTGAAGCGTAGCCGAGTGGGCCAGCCACGTCTGGAGTCCATAGGAGAGCTTCGACTTCTGAGGGAAAATGGACCCTGTTTACGGTGTAGAACAATGAAGAAGAGCGTGAGTAAGCTTCCCTTGCGATACACGGAGTATTGACTAACTTGTACAGTGCGATTCCAACGATCCCTGTGCATTCTGCCCCGACATCGCAAGCTCACCGGATAATGATTTCTGGAGAGCCATTGGGTGTTTCCGAGGATCACTGAGTAATCTCACCGACATTATGCTTCCAGGTACGTGGAATCCTGCCGTACGTGAGACCTCATATGCTGATCGACCTCTCAGCCTATCTGTCACCCAGACAGATGCAGACGCCCATGACATCTCCTCTTGCTATTCGCCGCAGCATGAACGAATTCTTGGACAGAGGTTACGCCGTTGGCCCAGATGTCACCAACATGGTAAAAGCTCATTTGGATTTTAATGATCGCTTCTGGTGGACAGACGACCTCTCGAACCTGCCGCTCGCCAATCCAACACTCGCTTCATTCTCCCATGAACCCGTCGAACGGTCACCCCCTGTTCTAAACGTCCTTGCCTCTAGTTGGAACTTGAATGGGACCATGTACAACTTTTGGAAGCTGCTACACTTGAGCGGGTCGATCTCAGACGGACGAATGCACGAAGTGACGGCCTACCCTGTCCTATATCGAGCCAAGCTTCTGCTTCGCGAAACGCTTTTCTACGACTTTCAGCAGCCGGAACCCGCAATTCATGGAGAGACGACGAGCCCCGGAAGCCATATGGTCTTCGACGATGTGGACACGTGCGGCCGCTTCCGTGTGTTGTACAACTGCATGACACAGTTTCTCCAGGCGTTTGAAGCCCAGACAATGCGACCTACACTACCGGACCCTCGGAGCTGGCTCGCTACCTTCTACTCACTATGCATATTCGGTGTAGTGAGAACTTTGTTGGTGGACCGAATGGCGCAATCACGGATAACTTCTCCCTCACAGCAAGGCGTTCCTGCCATGCATGCCGTATACAAAGCGCTAGTTAGCGTATTTGCTTGGTCCGCGCCTATGCTGCTTGACGGGTCCGATATCGAGATGAGTCATGGTGACCGCGAGCTATTGGCTTCCGCAGCCACTGTCTTGGAAAGGGGCACGTGGACGGAACGGGGCATCTCAACCACCAAGGACTTTCTGATGTATCTTGGTAGTGGGGAGATAGAAGGACCCTATTTCAATGGGTTCCTGAAGCAGAGGTCACCAGCAAAGCCTGGATCCTTTCTTCTGCCTCCCATTACAAGATCGGGGGAAGATGTCAGAAAGCCACTGCCAGATACACGATCCATTGCCAATCCATGGCATTCCATGACATCAATCCAACCAGAGAAGGAGCCTTTTTCCTACAATGTTTTCAAAGGAGAGTCAGATCGGATCCTGACTTCTCCTCAAGTGATGGAGGCGGGAAGGCGGCATACTGTTGCTGAAAGCCCAACATATGTGAGGCCAGGTGGCCGAGGCCCAACGTCACCCATTGCTGCTGCAAGAATCAGATCCTCATACCAGCGGCCACCCTTGCGAAGAGTATACTGTACGAAGTGCAACGAATATCCAGAGGGGTTCCGAGGCGAGCATGAACTTCGGAGGCACAACGATGCGAAACACGCTGCCTTGGTTAAGAGATGGGTATGCACGGAACCGCATGAGCCAGGCTCCCCCTTACCCGTCGTTCCACTGGCAAAGTGCAAGGCATGCGTAACACAAAAACGATATGGAGCCTACTATAATGCCGCTGCACATCTGAGGAGAGCGCATTTCAATCCTCACCGTGGGGGCAAAGCAAGCGGAGACTGGCCGCCCATGGCGATTCTTAAGGACTGGATGCGTGAGGTTCGGCAGTCCATCGATATTCAGGATCAGGATGACGCCTCAAGTGGTGAAGATGAGCCACAAGACTTCAAGTCGATGCATGACTTTATGTCACCGACTGAACAACACGCTCCAGTGTTGGAGGCGCCGCGTCTTGCCCCAGCTCCTCCACCACCTCCTCCACCACAACCACACCATGGTCCGCCGTTATTGATGCCTTCTCTTGACAGGCTTGGCGCTAATGGGCCGCCGCAACTCATAATGCAAGGCGGCCAGGGAGTTTTCCTTGCTCCCAACCCGGGGTTGAAAGTTGATGAGTCATCACACCCGCCCAGCGCGACCTCATCTGCTCGAAACCGTTGTCCTATTCCTGAATGCGGCCGAGTGTTTAAGGATCTCACGGCACACATGCTCACACACATGGAAGAAAGACCCGAGAAGTGCCCCATAGAGTCCTGTGAATACCACATCAAGGGGTTTGCCAGAAAGTATGACAAAAACAGACATGCGCTGACGCATTACAAGGGCACAATGGTATGCCCCTTTTGTCCTGGAGCTGGGACGGCATATGAGAAGGCTTTCAACCGGGCCGATGTGTTCAAACGCCACTTGACCGCCGTGCACAACGTTGAACAGACACCACCAAATAGCAGGAAGTTAATACTGACCACCGGGGGGCGGTCCGGTGGTGTAGGCGCTAGATGTAGCATCTGCCAAAGTCAGTTTGCTACTGCGCAGGAATTCTACGAGCATTTGGACGACTGCGTTTTGAATGTCATCGTCCCGTCGACCCCAAAGACGGCGGGCAGCAGCAGCGCAACCACCAGGAAGGACTCTTTAGCCACAAAGACGCCCACTACTGCAAGCACCGACAAGGGAAAAGAGCTTGATATTGAGCTTGAGATGCACCGGCGCCGAGAGTCCACGCACGCGCTGCCGCCGCCTCCTCATATCCAAACCCTACCAAGAGAGATTCCAGAGCAAGAGCCTATGAAACAGCAAGGCCTCAGCGCCAGGGACGCACAAAATCTCAAGCTAGTTGCTGACTCCGTATTGGAGAACGAAGCAATGCTTGCCAGTATTGGCAGGGGTGCGCCTGAGCAAGAGATTGCTGGATCAGAAACTCAAGCACCTCTTTCACAGCCACCATCGGAGACATATCTGCCCCCTCCTCCGTCATATTTACCTGGACCGGCATCTGGAATTGAGCCAGCATCTGAGAGTCAGAATGTCCCTTTGAAGGCTCCAGAAGAAAGGATCGACATGGAAATGGACGGGGCTGGTGACAACCCATCCAGGGAGCCGCAGTCAAGTGGGACACCATCTGCTGGCGCGAGTTACGCGGAAGTGATGAGATTACGTCGCAGTCCGGAGGTGACACTAGGCTCACCGGCGCCAACGGATAAGATGGATACGGACTAGATGCGAAGAAGAGGAAGAAACTGAGAGAAGGTTCACGAGGCTGGTATACGGATTGTGATATGCGGTTGATGATTTAAGTGAATAATGATTTAATGGCTCCTTTTCTTCATATTGCTCCCCTCTTCTGATTTGTCACTACTTATATACGATGACCCAGACACCTGGGTCCTGTCCCTTCCTCTGTTTGCCTATGGGGGTTTGCTGCTGGTTTTAAAATCGAATGGCGGCGGTATGCATGCGACTACTGGGACACACGTACATTCTTGAGCTTGGGGAAACTGTCATTTTGTCGGTTGTGGACTGGGAGTCTAGAAGCATACACGGCGAGTGGGTTGAGGGAGTCCTAGGAGGTACTTGGTGGGCTTTGCGTGCGGAAATCAGTAAAGCAAGCAGCATTGGGTGTGCGATATTATCTACCTATGAACCGATACACATTGAGCATTCGAAATAAGAATGTCTCGTGTGTAGTCTTTCAAAACCGCCACTACTGCTGTCCCCATGGGTTGCTACTCTGCATCCCTGACATCGCCCTCATCGCTGCTTCCGCCTCGGCGGCTCTTCTCGATGCCTCTGCTTGCATCATTTCGAGTGTCGACGGTGTGCTCCTTCCCATTGTTGAGTTAGTGGTAGCTCCTGCCTGTCTCATTGTGGCCTCCAAGTCGAATGGCGTTTCTCCCATCGCTGGCCCACTTTGCGGTCCCATTGCCCCCATCGCTGTGTTCATTCCCATCTCCCTCATCATCGCACTCATATAAAACCTACCTATCTGCTCCCATCCACATCGTCGGCTCATGTTGCATCCCCATGGCCCCTATCTCCCCCAATCCACCCACTCCTCCCATCGCTGCCATTCCCGCCTGCGCCTCCCTTCATCACACAGCCTCCTCTTCCATCCTCGCATCAGCTTCCCTCCTTCTCTGCGTCTCTTCTCTTAGTCCCGCCGCTATACCCTCTGTTCTTCCCCTCCTCGCCGCCTCCGCCTCCCTCTGCATCGCCGCCATATTCACCTCCGCCTCTCTCATCATCCTCATCTGATTATCTTCCATCGCTCTCACCGGTGCTTCGACATCAATCCCAAATTCTCTCAACCATGAACTCCCAACACTCGGTCGTGTATTGGCTTCTATATCCGCTCTGACCCTAGCTCTGATATCCCCTGGGCTTCCCAATGCCGTTCGAAGAGCTTCCATTTGTCCTTCCATTGCTCGAATTGCTGCGCTGGTGTCGACGCCGGGGACGCCCAGCGTGGTCATCATTCCTGCTAACCCTCCTAATCCGGATGTAGAAGATCCAGATCCAAAACTAGCTTGCATGCTCCTCAAATCAGCCTGCATGCTCCCTCCAACGCTCGTCTCGTCTCCTCCACCTGTCTAATCGTCTCCTCCTCCATCTATCTTACCAACTCCTCTCCCCATCTTTCTTTATCTGTGTCTTTAGTAGTGGTCGCCAGGCTTCAGAGAGTTGGTAATCTAGGAGGGTGGGGTAGCGGGTGACGGTGAGTTTTGGTTTTGAGGGGGTTGCGGTTGCGGTTGCGGTTGTTGCATTTTCGTTCTGAATTGAGGGGGAAGGTGGTGCGTTTCCGTCCCCATTTTCAGGAGGAGCGGAATCAGATGAAGATGAAGGTGCTGCAGCAAGTAGTAAGCCGAAGACGCCGCCAGCCTCGGCCTCTTCAAACCAACAATCTCGCGTATCATCACTGATTATCACCAGGTCTTCTAGGTAAGGAGAAAAGGAGGAGGATTTGAGAAGGGAGGGCTCGGACGATTGGAAGTACCAGCGGGCCATGTCGGTGTTTCTTTCTATTACTAGGCGCTTGATTCGGGTGTTGTTGTTGTTGTCCTGCTGTTGTACGAATGGGGACAAGACGAAGTGATGCAGAGAAGTGCCGTCGCGGAGGAGGAGAGTGTCGAAATCGAAGTTGACGTAAACGTAGCGACGTGGCTGTTTGGGTGGTCTGGGAGGGGACCCAGAGCGAGGTAAATCGGCCTCAAAAGTTCGCTCGTAAGCTTGATGGGAAGAACCAACTTCGAAAGTGAGGTGCTTGCGCGCTTCGCGGCAGGTATGTAAAGCGGCGGGGACGGGGATAGGGGAAAACAGGCGAGGAGGTCGTCGACGTGAAGCTAAAGGGTCAGAGGAGGAGAAAGGTGGGAAGAGTTGGACTAGTTGAAGATTGTCCTGAGGCTTATTGGCGAGGAATTGGACTTCCACTGTGCGTGGGGTTATGGTGAGTTCCCAGATTTGGGCGCGGAGTTCCCAGGGGAGGTGGGAGAAGAGGTGGAAGGTTGTGGCGGCCATTTTCAAGGAATGGTAATGGCGGTGGTGATGATGTGGCAGATGGTTAGAGGTAGGTAGGTATCGACTGAAGTTGTCTGCGTGTGTGTAATGGCGATCGATTGTCGTCTGCTTTTCTTGGAGTGCAACGGAAGTTGACGCTTTATGTTTAAGAGGGAGAGCTTCTATGAGAAGTGAGCTGAAAAACAAAGCCGGGGTCGAAGCCACGTGTTTCGCTTGCTGGAATTCCAAGTTTGATCTAGTTGTGTTGGACTATGAATTTACAAGTTGGATATAAGACTAAAGAAGGGAAAACACTGCGAAGGGAGTTCTTCTCCGGTTTCTTCGGTTTGGAATTTAAGGCTGGATAGTAACATGGAGGTCCAACTATGCAACCGGGAAGGCTGTCTTATCGACCTTAACCGGAGAATAAGAGTGCCTAGGTAGTCACCGGCGTTTGTTTGTGTGTTGGGTCAAAGTGATAGTCGCAGCATGCATCCAATAAGTTGAAGGAATTCAGGTAGACAGAACAGCGAAAATGGGGGAGGGAAGTGAGAAAAGGAGAGACTTCCATCCTCAGGCAGATCAGAAGAAGACACTCAACAAGTGCTTCACCAACCGTCACCGATCTAGCTATAGTCCCGCGGTGGCCACTGGGTTATGTAGGCAAGAGCGGATAGTATCCCGAGTTTTGGATGATTGTATGTGTAGATACACCGGGTAAGGGAGATAATGTACCGAGTGCTAAATGTTTGGAAGTCATGAAAAAAGTTCGCAAATACGTACTTCGTTGATGCGTACCTTCGTGACCAAACATTTCGAAGGAGAAGCCCTGATAATGAGAAACGAGCTTGGGGCCTGATGATATTTGTGTCTCCTGTGTAGATGCCTTTATATGATGGGGAGCGAATGGCCTCTCTTGACGGGTAGAAGCTGATCAACAGCGGACAACGGCTGACTGGGCGTCCCGATTGAAGGTATGTGGTGGTTTCTAAATGTATGGTACGTCTACGGATGATATTCGTGGTGTCACGCCGTATCCAAGCAGGTGGTGCCAAAAAAACAGTACATACACGCCCACTGTTTTTTGGTGAGCCCATGTGTAGTCTTTTTTTGGCACCACCTGCCAAGATGCGAAGCGTCGAGTCGGGGCGATCCTCCGGAACAGGATGCTACAGTACATACAAGTAGGTAATCTCAAGAAATAGATGACTTGGGAAATGGAAACGGCCCAGAGACGAAGTTGGCTGTTCTGAATGTCACAAGGTCTTGCGCTCAGCTCGGTGACTGATTGACGGTACGCATTTCGAGCGCATCTCAATGGAGGGACCGTCGCCGTTCGGCAGCGCCGACCGGAAGCGATGTCGACGACAACGGCTTGGGGACTTCGCATTGGGGAAGCCGAAGCTCAGCTGTCCGGTCGGTCGTTCACGAGCAAGAACGCAATCCGGTTCGCAGGCTGGCTGGAATCAGATGCGACCTTGCCAAACACTGACTGCTTGCTGTCGAGCGGTCGGGCTTGGTCACGACGAGGGAAGCACACGGATTCAGCTTCTTCGAGCGGTTCTTTTCGCGCAATACCTCGAGCAATATCACATGCTTGAGAGACATAAAAAAAAAAAAGATCAAGTGGACGATTGGGCATGTAACCGGGATTTCATGGGAAAACATCACAGCATTTGCTCCGGATTCCCTCAAACTGTTCGGCGTTACTCTAGCAACTGGTATTTATGAGCACTCGCAGGACACGGGGAAATCAAGTCCTTGGAGGCGGCGCCGGTTGCGTTAAAATGATTATATGTATGAAGAAGAAAAAGGGAATAGGAGAAAAGAGCGACGCGAAAATTTTAAGATATGGGCGCCGAGACCACACAGTGTCCAATGACAGTGAAGGGTTGATCGTACTGTGCTTGCCCCGCGCGCTGTCGACGTCGAGCTGGCGGCAGCGGCAGCGGCATGGACGGCGGCAGTGCTGCGGGCTGAAAGTCGAGTGGAGAGTTTTCTTCAATGCCATGGATTCATGATCGATGCACCACCAAACATTAAGAAGTCAACCTCGATGTACAACACCATTACACCCCACGGAGATAACTGACAGCTCTTCTTGGCTTGCTCACGGGGACATGATTCCCGTGGTGTTACGATGCACACTTGTATGTACAAGCCGGCGCCTGACTGTTCTCCTCTTCGTTCGGAGTTACCAATGCACACGACTCGGAGTGGCAGCCTCTAGAAGATTCATCAGGCTGCTCCCATGTCTCAGCTCGAGGACACATCTGGCGCATCAATGCGCATCATCTGTGGGTTACACGTGGGGATGATCCTGAAGAGATATTGGTCTCTTGCAGGCCATCTTCGATGGTGTTAGGTTTCATCTGAAGTACGACCTCGTACGACTTATAAGCCTCGCACTGACTATACGATAGCAAAGTCGTGATATCTGTCTGGTTTCTTGGGAATTTGAACCGCCTCTAGATGTTCATTTCTCAAGAGATATCTTGCATCTACAAACTGGAAAGAGTAATGGGAAAAGGATCAAGTGTTAACAGAGTTGATGTCTACCTAGCAAAGCATCTCAGGCGTGTGAATGACGACCACATTGAGGACGATCCTATATCAAACTACCAAAAGGGCAAAAAAAGCACCTCAATGCCTTGCAAGTGTGCGCCTGACCGCTGGGGTGCCCATCCATTCAATCGAGGTCAGGCAGGTTCCAGCCCCCAGATGCCAACTCGGTGTTTCCACTTGGCCCCTGCGGTCAGTGATGCCCACAGTCCACTATTCAGGGTCCAAGTTGCCAAGGACCAAGCCAAGGTCAAATAGAAGAAGGTCACCGATCGTCGAAAAGTCTTGGTTTGGGCTCCCTTTGACTGAATCTTTCTCCGGCCGACTTGCAGGAATTTTCCAAAACACGCCACCGACTATGTAAAAGCATAGTTGAGCCCCTTTTACCTGCTAACCTTGAGGATATCTTCAACTTTGTTCCTCTGTACGACTCCAAAGTCTTCAGAGTCTCCAAGTCCCAAAGGCAGCACCGTCCAATGTCACTCAGCCGGTGCATTTTGGGGCTGGCCTGCCTGTGGCATGGCGTCATTGCCAGCCCACCGGGTGCCGTCCCATCCAACATCCCAATTGCACAGACAGCAACAGTCGCACAACCCATCGCAAACTCTGCTGCCCCGCGAAAACTACACGGCAAATTTCTGCACATCACTGGTGCGTATCGATTGCAGCCTTCCAATTTACCCAGAGCTAATCGCTTCGTCGTACCAGATTTACATCCCGACCAATTCTACAAGCCGCACTCCTCCACAGACGAAGCCGATGCCTGCCACCGCGGCAAAGGGCCTGCCGGCGTTTACGGCGCCGAGGTCTCCGATTGCGACACGCCCTTCGCCCTCATAAACGCGACCTTTGACTGGATAGCCGCCAACATCAAAGACGATATCGATTTTGTCATCTGGACCGGTGATACCGCCCGCCATGACAGCGACGAGGAGATCCCCCGCAGTGCCGACCAAGTTTTGGGTACCAATCGTTGGATCGCCGACAAGATCGCCGAACTCTTCTCCGATTCGACCGGCCAAAATCTCGAAATACCCATTGTACCGACGCTAGGGAACAATGACATATTGCCGCACAACATCCTGCTCCCGGGGCCGAACCCCTGGCTGCAACAATACACGCATCTTTGGCGTCGCTTTATCCCGGAAGAACAGCGCCATGGCTTCCAGTTCGGAGGATGGTTCTACGTCGAGGTTATCCCGGACAGGCTCGCCGTGTTCAGCCTGAACACCCTGTACTTGTTCGATCGCAATGCCGGGACTGACGGTTGCGCCAGGCCCAGTGAGCCTGGATACAAGCAGATGGAGTGGTTGCGTATCCAGCTCCAGATCATGCGGGAGCGCGGCATGAAGGCTATCCTCACGGGTCATGTCCCTCCTGCGCGGACAGATAGCAAGAAGCTGTGGGACGAGAATTGCTGGCAAAAGTACAGTTTGTGGCTCCGCCAGTATCGGGATGTGGTCGTTAGCGGCTTGTTTGGCCATATGAACATCGACCATTTCGTCATTCACGATGAGCACGACATCAACGTGGGCCTACTCGCTGGCCTGGCTGATGACAGCATTGATACTCGGGAGGCCATGGACGACGAGCTCTCGATCACGGGAGCAGCTGACTACCTCCTAGAGCTGCGCCAGAACTGGGCAAAACTTCAACCACCTCCCACCGACTCTAAGAGCCCTAGCAAGATGAAGAAAGGCAAGAAGGGACGGAAGGGCAAGAAGAAGAAGACCGACTTGTGGGGTGAACGCTACTCACTCTCGCTCGTCAGCCCCAGCATCGTTCCGAACTACTACCCTGCCCTGCGTATCGTCGAGTACAACACTTCGGGATTGGAGAACACGCCCCTTTGGAGGGACGCAGCCAAGAACGTGATGCCAATCGAGCTGGAGCAAAATGACAGGCAGAAGCACCTCGACCTCAAGCGACGACACCTTTCCCACACCGAAGAAGACGACGAGATCGACGCCCAGAAGAAAAAGGGGAAGAAGAACAAGGGCGGTGACTCTAAGCCCAAAGAGCCCGACTTCCTCATTCCCCACCCCCCTGCGAAGAGCTCACCGCCAGGACCGGCCTACTCCCCACAGCCCCTTACGCTGACCGGCTACACTCAGTACTTTGCCAACCTTACGCATATCAACAATATCACTACCGAGGACCGTCCTGCGCTGTCGAGTGATAATGAAGAGGATGAGACATGGGTCGATTGGCTTCTCCGCTGGCGAAAAGGAAGACACGGCAACAAGAAGCCCACCCACCCAGAGCCCGACCCGCGCCAGTTCAACTTCGAGGTGGAGTACAGCACCTTTGACGACAAGCTGTACAAGCTGGGTGATCTCACGGTCAAAAGCTATGTTGATCTTGCGTACCGAATCAGTAAGCAGCCTAACGAGGGCAAGGCTAAGGGCGTGGATGTCACGTATGAGTCCGAGGACGAAGAGGAGGAGGATAAGGATCTCTTTGAGGACGTGGAAGATGAAGACGAGGGAGAAGATGGTGATGATGACCCAAATGACGATGAGGAGTCGGAAGATGATTCGGACGACGAAGAGTTGCACGACGAGAAGAAGGGTGGGAAGAAGCACAAGAAGAAGGGGAAGAAGAAGCAGAACAAGATATGGATGCACTTCCTCACTCACGCCTTTGTGAGCACGGTGGAAAAGGAGGATCTGAAGAAGTTTACGTGATACTCATCATGTTGTACTCTGGTTTGGGCATAACGGAGCATTTTGGAGTTTCTTTTGGTTCAAGGCAACAATGTGTAAGGGCATACGGATATGGCGTTCAGGAAAATATCGAGTTTTGGCTCGGAGAAGGAAATACCACGTTCATTGGGTTGTCCAAACATTGAGACACTGTCTTTTACGCAGTCTAGCTTCCAATTGAAGAAGCATTGCCACTAATAGTTGTGTGTGATCTTTCGGCGACTTCAGGAGCTTTGCCGGTGAAAGCGTTGCTCCTCCGGCAACACGGTCCCACAATGAACCCCACAATCCCCTCGATCGGTCCCTTGATGGCCTTATCGCTTATCGGTTTAATTGATTGCGTCCGCTCCTCGAGTCGCGTCTCTCCATCTCTCCGCTGCTTCTCCTATTCAACTCCCGTCTCTTTGATCGTGGCCCTTTGTTTCACACTCGGCAGACGACAGACATAAACACCGATCGATATCAGCTTCATCATATCTCCCGTCAAACTCTCGACCTACTCCCTCCACACTACAAGCTGCAACGAACGAGGGAATGGCGCTATAACCCCACCCCCCCTACCTCGACCTCAACCATCTATCCTTACGGCCATGCCACGTCTCCTCCCACGCCTCTTCGCCGCCCTCCCTTCGAAAATCCTCCACCGCCGCACCCGCCGCGCCCGCATGGCCACCCTCCTCCTCCTCCTTCTCATCCTGCCCCTGATCCTCCTCCTCCCCTTCTACACCGTCTACAAACCCCCTTCCTCCTTGATCCGGTACTTCTCGCAACGCTGGACCGACGTCCTCTGGCGCCTTTGGCTACCGCCGCACCGCAAGATCGTGGCCCTGACTATCGACGATGCGCCGTCCGATCATACGCGAGAGATACTGGCTGCTTTGAAAGCCGGCGGCGCGCACGCGACGTTTTTTGTTATTGGTGGACAGGTTAGGGGCAGGGAGGAGATACTGAGGGAGATTGTAAGGCAGGGACATGAGTTGGGGAATCATGGGATGCATGATGAGATGGCGAGGCAGTTGGGGGATGAGGAGCTGGAAAGGCAGATGAGGGAGGTGGAGGGGTTGATTAGGGGGGCTTATGAAGCTGAGGGGAGGGTGTGGCCGGGTGGTGGTAGCTCCGGTGCTGGAGCTGGTGCTGGGGGGACAACAACAGATGGGACAGATACGACAACAGATACAAGAACAAGAGAAGGAGGGACCGTTGAAGATAAAGTCATCGAGGGGAAATATTACCGGCCTGGATCGGGATTTTTCAGCGAGAGGATGTTGAGCTTGGTGAGGAAGTTGGGGTATAGATTGGTGTTGGGGAGCATATATCCGCATGATGCGCAGATTGGGTATGCGTGGTTGAATGCGAGGCATATACTCAGTATGCTGAGCCCCGGGGGGATCATTATTTGTCATGATCGGAGGAGCTGGACGCCGCCCATGCTGAGGAAGGTGTTGCCCGAAATGCAGAGGAGGGGGTATAAAGCTGTTACCGTGACGCAGCTGTTGGAGGAGGCGACGGGGTAAATAAACATTTCGTTGATCGGGGATTATTTGAATTACTATATTGCATGTTGGCGTTAAGGAAAAGGTGCGGAGACACCAATTTTGGTGGGAATAGTCACCACGGAAGAGCAGTCCGCAGTGGAACAATATCATTACGTTTTGCGGTCAACCTGGCTTGGAGTTTCAAAACCAAGACACGAGTGTTATTCAAGAAGGACTGAGGCCTCCCAGTCTCTATAACAGCGGCGGTGCCGGAGTTGCCACATTGATCGTGGGAGCGCATTAGAAAATGTCTGCCGTTGGAGTTTGAAACCACGATTATATTACATTAATAATTACTATATAACTAAAAAGTCCATATAAACGAGGGACGACAAAGGTATAAGGTCTAGTTCTAGCATCTATCACGTCAACATCAAAACACATTATCCACGGAAAACCAAACCCAGTCAAACAAAAACGCCAAAACAAAAAGAGAGGAAAAAAAAAACAGAGCCATCATCGTACAACCCAATCCCTAGAGACAGACGCTCACTCACTCATCCCCCATCACAACCCCCGTCTCCAAAAACAGCACAACCTCCGCATGCCTCCCCACCCTCCTCATCCCCTCCGTCATCGGCATGTAACCCTTAACGCTCATCCTCTGAATCGCCAAATCCAACGGCGTCTGGCCCGTCCGATTCATCGTCCTCTGCAAGTCCGGATCATGATTGCACAGCACCACCACGGCACTCAACAGTCCCAATTCAGCAGCGTGATGCAAGGCGTTGTTGCCGTCGATGTCGACCAGCTCGGGCCGCGCGCCGTGCGCGAGCAGGAGGTGGAGGTATTCTCTTAGCATGTCGGATGGTCGTTGGGGATAGTGGGGGTGGGGGTGGTGGTTGCCCCAGGCGAAACCGCGGAGGAGGGTCATGAGGGGCGTGCGGAAGTGGGGGAGGTCGCGGTTGTTGGGGTCTTCCGGGACGTCGCCCGCTAGGGCGAGGGCGAGGACTTGGGGGAAGGAGAGGCTGGTGGTTGTGGTGGTTGTGGTGGTGGATCTTTGGTGCGGGTTGACGGCCATGATGGCGGTGGGTTCGACGACGTCGAGGTCGAGGTCGAGGAAGCTGGTGTCGCTGAGGGATGGGGGCGGGGGAGGGGTGGAAGAAGGGGGGGTGTAGTAGCAGAGGTTTTCGGCGGTGGGCGGGCACACGTTGCGCCCGACGTTGAGGGAGGCGACGATTTGGTGCAGGTTGTTGCGCCCTTGAGGGTCGACGGGCACGTGGGAGAAGAGGGAGGGGGGTTTGATCCAGACGGTGCGGTAGGCGGTGCCGTAGCGGGCGAGGAAGTAGTCGCAGTAGGCTGAGGCGGCTTCGAGTTGGGAGGGGTCGGGGATGAGGCTGTTGCCTTCGATAACGTTTAGACGAGCCCGGATAGCTTGGATTAGAGGCGGTTGAGGGGTATGATGAGGGTTGAGGCTGGGGCTGGAGGGATGCCTGAGGAGAAAGAGACGGGTGGCTTCGGGGAGGTAGGAGAAGATGGCTTCGAGGGCCTCGATAGTGAAGTCAGGGCGAGCAAGAAGGCGCTCGATGAATGTCATGCCGGAAGAGTCCAGTTGGCAAAAGTTGAACTTCCGGCCGACGAGATATTTTGTGAAGTGAGCGAGCTCGTTGATGTCAAGTGATCTAGGGTTGAGCACGTGAAGGAAGAGTTCGCTGAGGTGGTTAGGCGTGTTGAGGGTTATGGTTGTCGATATCGTCATGATCCGGAAGAGGACGGGCCCGGGAGCTATCCATCGGGCGGCAACATGAAGTGCGGTGTTCCCCAGCCCGTCCTGGTCGTTCACCTCCTCGGCGGCGCAGACAAAGGTATCGGCCGACCGGTTGCCAAAACACACGGCACTGATGCGCTTGTGGATGCACCATGCCTTTTTGCTGCAACAGTGTTTGAGAAGCTCTTGGTTTGCCCGGCTGTCGGCGTTTTGCACATACTTGTCGCTATAGTCTATCGGGTCTTCAGGAGACATGGCCTTGCCCTCTGGCATTGTAGACTTCTTCTTCCCTCGTCCTTCGTATAGCGTGGCTGACGAATTTGACCTGGATAAGAAGGAACGCTGGTTCCAATGGGGAGAGGCACAAGAAGAGGCGTTACTGCTCGAGCATATGGACAGTCCGCTCAAGAGACTAACAACGTCGGCCAAGAATGACGAAGTGCGTCCCGGAAGCTTCACTCTCAAACTTTCCACCCGACTGCATCGCCTCTCCTTGATGGTCTTAGAGTGGTGCTTGAAGATCCTCCCTGTTGAAGCTGGTACCTCAGGGGCAGACATCTCGGCTTCCGGCGAGTCGAAGCTTGTTGCTGTGGAAGAACCTGGCGGTATCGGGCTCAGATCGCTTGCACTCGCCTGTTCCAACCCCAAATGGTGCGATATACTGAGCCGGGTCATCTCTCGCCCCAAACTCTTCGTCGGACAGTTGGTACCAGGGGACTGCTGCCGCCATTTGGACGGATTCCTGGCCAGAAGAATGCCACAGTCAATCTCGTCCCCCTTGGGTGGATCAGCAACTGGACGGCCATCCCTCATAGACCTCAGATAGGCCAGTCGCCTTTCCATCGACGCTCGGTTTTTGGGCCTCCTCTGGCGGTAGGACTTGGATAGAAGCTCGTTAAGGAGACATTGTGTATGTCGAGGTCTGTAAATTGCAAGTCAGCGTTGATGGTCAACGGCAGGAGAAGATGAGTATGTCCTACTTTGGTTGGAACGATCCCTCGGCAAGGAGGTCAAGGATCTCCTTCAACGACAGGCCGGACTCAGGAGTACATAGATACAATCGGAGAAGTCTCCTCTTTCGTGATGGCGTCCAGTCTATCGCCGGCCGTCCCCTCCTCCGGACTTGAGACTCGCCCGTCGGTTTTGTGATCTTTCCATCTTTCGTTCTAGGCATGGTGGCTGTTTCTGTTTGACTTTCCTTACGGACGTAAGATCAGCAAACAACTAAAGGAGTGGAAGCATCGGGGGGAGGGCCAGAGCGGGACATGATATACACATGCGCAACCATCCGAGAGACTATCCGACCCGGAAGCGACTAAGCCTTCTCCGGAGGCTCATATCAAGCCATCGTTTGAAACAGACCGTTATTTCCTGGGGTGGGAGGGTGGCCAAAGTCTCCGGTCGTCGATCTTTGATAACGAGTCGAGGAGGACGTCATGATGCCGGTACGCCGTGTGCCGGTATTGAAGGGAGACGAGCGTCGACGTTCGATGATCTCCCCACAAACTGAACATATTAGGGCCCCGACTCATGACAAGCCGTGTGGATGGGTGAAAGACACCCTGGGATACGATCAGATGGGAGTGACTTTGGTGCCATTTTCGGACCGTTGCGGTGTCAAACATAGTCGGCTTGCCTTAGGGGCCAATTCGCCAATGAAGCCATGCTGCAGCCAGTCGTCTCAATCGGGAAGAGATGACTGGGATGTCTCTCCAGGATGGTGTAGATTGCACGCTTGCACACACTCCTCTTGGTCTTCTTCACGGTCTTGTTCTCCACGTGGGGTGGTGTTTGCTTGTTCATCTGCGACAGACGGAGCCCCTGATAACTGCCAACAATGCCGCCATTCGACGTCAAAGGGGGCGCCACCTTGTGGCCCATGGAAGCAATGGAATCTTCTTTTTCTCCCGCCGGGAGATCATTTCTGAGATTTGGGGATGTCGATATGCATGTATGCTCGGCTTACCCGTCCCTTGGATACCGTTATGTTTCGGATACGATGTTTCAGAGCTCCTTCGACAATCACGTTCCTGAAGGGGGCGATGCTTGGAGCCTCGAACACGAAAGCGAGGTGTCGACGTCCGTAAGGAAAGCCAACGGCCGCTAGAGCCTCTTGGGTTCCCGTCGTCGTCGTCGTCAACATCCCGGGCACGCGGTCACACCCGCTGATGGCAGACAGAAACTTCGGGCTTCTAGCGAATGATCAGTGATCAAATGAGTAATCAATGAAGCTCCGTAGCCCCGAGGAATGAGTGGTTGTTTCAAGTGGAGAAGAAGTCTTCTAGAATGTCTTTGTTTTCTTTCTTCGGAATCCTTCCAGTGGCCTCGGGACGATCCAGGGTTGTCGCCAGAACGGGACCTCAACAGCTGGACGGGTCTGTGCGAAAGCGACCATGAAGTGGATGCCCTTTCTGTATTGCTACACAGGAAACGCAGTGACTCTCCAAGTTAACTCCGAAGAACCAAAGAACCTCCAATCTCCAACAACCGTCAACAACACTATCTTCCAAACCGCCATCCCCATATTCTGGAAACCAAACAGAAGCTGCGCCATTCTGGCTTCTATCTTTGGGTTTAATGCACCTGAATGAGGCTGGCACGGCTCAACAGATGGCTTGGTGGCGGACGAGATCTTTCTTGCGATATCTGAACTCCATCACAGTGCTGAGTGCAGTACGCATTTTCTTGTATTACTCACGAGATGGTCAAAGCTTTCGTTAACGTGCCGGGCCCCGATTCAGGAGCCCCTCTTGCTACGGTAGTGATTATGCAGAAGACAATCCGACATGTACCTTCTCGCCCTCTGGTGGCTAAGCTGTGTCTTGGCGCCAAGTCCTGCGTCCATCCTAAAGTCACTTTTTTTCGACGCTTTCGTCACAACTTTACGAAAAGTCACTGCATAGAAAAACTGATAGCACCAGTAAATTCAGCGCGCCCAAAAGGGGGCTTTTTGCTCGGGTTAATTTTATATCGGGTTGTAGTGAAGTTAATACAGCGGTTGGAAGAAAGGTTAGCAAAAGTATCCGGGACTTAGGTTTTTTGCCTGGGCGTGGGAAGGTACATGTCGGATTGTCTTCTGCATAAGCATTTCCCTTGCTACCCCATCCGCTCCGCATCCGATGGGTCCCATCCCGCCCTTGCGATGACGAGCTGAGGAGACTTTTTGTCAACTATGGAGTCGCCCCGCGCCAATATCGAACTGGCATTCGACCACGGCGAGAAGAGTGGATGTGTCCAAGACTCCAAGGGCGCTCTAGGGCTCAAGCTAGGCTATTAAGGCTAGTTTGGACCCGGGAGTCACCATGCTTCCTCATGGCGACATGATTCCACTTTCTTCTTCGGGTCGACGACTTTGCGATAACACCATCTTGTCAAATTTACTAGTATGATTGATTCTATATGTGTCTAACTCGTGCGCCCTTCTCAAGAAGGCCTGGGGGTTCTGGGGGTAACCCATATTTACCAAAACTTGTAAATCAGGTGGCTAGGACTTTGGCATCTAACCCTCATCTGGGTAGAATGGTACCCTGGACTCTGACACATCTCTCTCCGCTGTATAGGTTCATATAAATAGGTTGATAGAACCGAGTTTCAGAAACTTTAAGTCGGGTTCTGACTTCTCACCAAGCTGTGCATCTCAGTCCGTCAGTATCAACACCATCAACATGTCCTTGCCAACCGGAAACCCCGTCCTCGACGGCCCCAAGAAGCTCGCCGCGGCTTTCCCTAACAAGGAGCTGTCGATGGCTTCTCTCTCGGTTCACGCCGACGACTACATCAACAACCACCAGGCCGTTGCGCCTCCCATGCACGTTTCCACCACCTTTCGCTATGCCGAAAACCCAGACGACTTGAGGCCATGGGCCAACCTTAACGTATGTTTCCCTCTCTCTACTCGTTAGCCACGGGCGATTATAGCTCAGACGAGTATCACCATCATTCACCACCATGAACAGCCATCACTAACACAAAACCCCAGCCCAACGCCCCATACGACTCCCACATCTACTCCCGCGACTCAGCCCCTAACTCCACCCGCCTCGAAGCCATCCTGACCTCCATCCTCGGTGCCCCCGTCCTCACCTACGCCTCCGGCCTCTCCGCCTTCCACGCCATGATCGTCTTCCTGAACCCGCGCCGCGTCGCCATCGGCGGCGGCTACCACGGCTGCCACGGCATTCTCAAACTCATGAAGAAGCTCAACGGACTGGAACAACTCGAGCTCGAGTCCGACGCCGACCTCGCCAAGCTTCAACCGGGTGACATCATCCACGTCGAGACGCCCCTCAACCCCACCGGCGAAGCCCGCGACCTAGCTTACTACCGGCGCAAGGCCGACGAGCTGGGTTGCTACTTGACCGTTGACGCTACCTTTGCTCCCCCGCCCTTGCAGGACCCGTTCCAGTTTGGCGTGGATATCGTCATGCACAGCGGTACCAAGTACTTCGGCGGACACAGCGACATGCTGTGCGGCGTGCTGGCGTTCCGCCCCGATAAAGCCGAGGAGTGGCTGCCGGAGCTGAGGGAGGAGAGGCTGCACGTGGGCGCGGTGCTGGGGAGTCTGGAGGGGTGGCTGGGCGTGCGCAGCTTGCGGACGTTTGAACTGCGGATCAAGAGGCAGGCGGAGAGCGCGCAGAAGCTGGTGGATTGGTTGGTGGAGGAAAAGGCGAAGGAGGGCAGCTTGATCAGTGAATTCGTGACGAGGATCCAGCATGCTTCGCAGCAGCCGGAGGCCAAGGAGGAGGGCAGCTGGTTGAGGAAGCAGATGCCTCGTGGCTTCGGACCGGTGTTTTCGATTTATCTCCAGTCGGAGGAGCAGGCTAAGAGGTTCCCTAGCAAGTTGCACTTGTTCCACCATGCTACTAGCTTGGGTGGCGTTGAGAGCTTGATCGAGTGGCGCGCCATGAGCGATTTGGGTATTGATAAGAGGCTGTTGCGCGTGAGTATCGGCGTCGAGGCCTGGGAAGATCTCCGGGACGATCTCATTCAGGGCCTTGAGGCATTGAAGAAGGATCCCAAGGCGCAGTAAATACCAAGATACCACGAGTGATGAACAAATAAAAAGCTGTTGTTTAGAAGCACAATATGGTCTGACTTCAAGCTATGAGTGAGCGGAAGTGGTGATAATTACTCAATTCATTAAGTTGTAGTTTTGTTGATCATGCCTGTATATACTGTGTCATAAGAGCAATATCCTCATTACCCAAGAACGCCGAAAAGCCATTATCCCATACCCCTCGTCATCCTCCATGAGCGAGTGACGTCCGTCTAAGTGTACGGTCTAACATTGTGCGTGACTTCATTAAGTAGTCCACCAGTCGAAAGCCCACGGGTTGACATGTATGTAAGCCTAAACATGACCCAACCCGGCATTATTTGCACCCCAATATCGGTAAGCCAAAAAGAAGAGAAAGAGGATTCCACTTGGGACGTGAATCATGACTGCACCTCCTGTTCTTGCAAGGTGGTGGCGGTGGATGGTCGGTCAGCAACAGGCATAAGTTCTGCCCCTTGTCCGCTCTGTCCCCGCTTCCGGCCGGGGAGGAATCGCGACATGGCTTGCCCGTTCTCCTTCTCTTTCAGAGGGGTGGCGTTTTCAGGGGCATCGGAGCCAAACTTGGAGAAGAAGCCGCGCCTCTTGGCCGGCTGGGCCTGTTGCTTGTCGTCGTTAAGGCCGACCTCTTCGAAGCTCTCTTCCGGAGTATTAGAAAAGTCCCGCCTGAAGCGGCGCTCACTTAGCATCGACTGTCGCGGCATGCGTGGGAACCTAGCCGAGTCGAGACTCTGCCGCGGGGCGAAAGTGAAATTGCCCGTGGTGGGAGATGTGGGAGATATGGGGCTCTTTGCGGAAATGTCCTAAAAGTAGGAAAGTGTACCAAGGTCAGCCATGTGTACGGCGGTCATGGCCCTGTAGGCGGGATGGATGCGTCGGAAACATACAAAGGACCTCCTATAGGAGTCAAAGGACTCTCTGGAGATGGAGAAGTGTTCAATCTCGGGAACACTGCTCCTTGTGTCGGTGGAGTTGCGCGACAGGTATTTCCTGGGCCAAATCGCTTCTTTCTCGACGGGGGACGGCTGCGATTACCCCTGTCAGATGTCTATGCTTGGGTTGTTTCTCTAAGCCACGCCACATGGGAATTTCAATTCATACCGGCAAGTATACACCACTGCCATTGACCACTGAAACCAACAAGACGAGTTAGCATAATGGCGCTTTCTACTGCATGGACGGTGGTTAAGAAGGGGGTTGAGGCGGTGTTGGTTGATAGGGGCCTGGTTTGTCATACCACTCATCTTGTATTCGCCAGTATCTGGACCCTTCTTGTTGCTGCGGATGCTGAAGGCCGACGAGGCTCTAGAACCGACCGTGTTTACCCTCTCGAAGCCAAGATGGGCAGGGTCAGTATTACCGGCGTCGGAACCGGGGCGGACGTTCTCGTCCTGGGTCACGGCAACGCCAGGCCGGCGCGCGAAGGGATTCCGAAGCGGCATGGTGGCAGAGTTCGTTTGTTTGCTGATGGAGGAGTCAAGTCGGTCCGCTATACAACGTTACGACGGACAGGGTCCAGGTATAATCGTGGTAAAGAGAAGTCGGAGACTATATGAAACTCGAAAGTATGATTCTGTTGTTGGTTGTAGACGGGAGACACTGGGCGGTCCAGGATCTGGTTTGCGATTAAGAGTGCAGGCGTGGGAAGAAAGATGGTTGGCAGCGGATTCGTCCGAGTTTCTGTGCCGACTTCCTCTTCAAGGGGCCTCGAGCTAAAGATGCGATGGAAGGTGCAGTGGTCTGGGATTCTAAGAGTTCCAAATGGAAGGATAAATCAGATGAAATCGGTCAAATACAAATCAAAAGCAGCGAACATCCCTATTCAAAAGTCCTTTTCCCTCGGACTAGTTCCCACTCCCGAGCCACTCTCTCCACGTCCTCAATGGTCCGCAATGGTCCTCAAAGACGGTCTGGCCGACGGGACCCTCGGGGCCGTTGCATCTCCATTGGACGACGGCGCCCAGAGTGGGACCGCGGGGTACGATCTTGGGCCGTTTTTAGTTTGCCAGCTGCACAAGCTGCAGTAGTTGACCTGCAGTCTTCAGGGACACTCGAGCGACACTGTGCCTGTGCCATGGCAGCCATCCAGCTTGTCATCCACATGCGGATACTGCTCAAGAGCCAAAAGGGGAATTGCATTCAGTTGATCTCCCCGCCCCGCCTTTGACTTGTGCACCCTTTTTGTGCACTCCCAGCACGCCGTCAGCGTGGAGTGGCGCACAAAAGTGCCCGCTTGTGTATCGTTGATTCGTTGGTGCCAATTGGGTACAAGCACCTTTGTTCAGTTGTAAGTGGTGATAAGTATATCAACTGTTGAAGAGCTCTCTATACTGTGGTGATTAAAGACAACAGTTGATGAGCGAGATGATGGCTCTGATGTTCATCCGTGCGGGGTGCTTCTTGCCATAACTTAAAAGGTCATCATTTCTGGAGGTATGGCTCATGACGTTATCCTTTCTCCAACTCCAAGAAACTTACTTGGGGGTTGTCGAGCGGCTTGGTTGGAGCCTTTTGTCAACCCCCTCTTATAAAAGAGGGGGAAAAAATATTCTGGGACAAACTTTTAATCTGGGACAATCTGAAATGTTAGGATGCATTATAGAAAAGTGTTAGTGGGAGAGACGCAACCACCTTTCAACTATACCACCATTTTCTAAAAATCTGGAAAAAATTGGGAAGAATAAGAAGGTTCTAATAGAGGTGTTTTTAAAGTTGCATTAATTTTGGTCGGGTCGTTGTTGAGGAATCCCCAAGTCGTATATCTCTTTGTTGTTGAAGTGTGGTTTAGTTCGGCGGTTTCGCGATACTAAAAATAATAATATTTAGTATCAATGCAAAGTCCAAAAGCTACCATTTACCCAATTTAAAAGATGATTTTTTGCAACTTTGAGAGAGTATTTCTTATACCTCTTTCTTGCTTCCTGATTTTTGCTAGAATTTTAGAAAATTGGTAGATGTAGTTATTATTGTTGCATCTTCCTACTACTAGTTTCCTATAGTACACGCTAACATTCCAGATATCCCAAATTAAAAGTTTGTCCTAGAATACTTTTTCCCCCTACTTAATGAGTAGGGGGTTGAGGAAAGGTCCCACCACCGAACCGCACCACAACCCCCAAGTACACCTCGGCAAAATAGGCAGTGTAGCAACTGGAACAGGTTGAGGAAGGGCGATCAAAAACTACACGTGCACAACCTTGAGGGCTGTGTTGGAAGCCAGTCAGCTAGATGTAACCTGGTCTTGTCTTTGTGCTGCTCGTCTGTCAGCTCAAAAGGCAAAAGCAGGGCATAGTCAACGCCTAGCGAGGTCGTGATGTTATCCTCCCTTTTGACGATTTATAGCCCACCTCTTCGTCGTGCCCATCAGAGCAGTTTGCCGGTTAAGCGGTCAAATATCAAATATTAGACCAACTAACTCCTCCCTCATCCAGCGAAACTCAAGAACAAAGGCTCAGCTGACCCAGTTAATCCATCCCGAATACGGATGGTCATAGTGAAGCCACCATTGTCTTATGTCATCTTTTATTGCCGGGTATCTTTCACAATCTTACATGTACTTCTAGATGCTCACATCTTAATCGGAACCGGTGCCATCCGGACCATCCGAGAAGCCATTGAACTCATCATCTTCAGAGCCTTCCTCGTCGTCCTCAGCTCCTTCAGCCAACTCCTCCGCATCGGGGTCCTCATCCTGTTCCTCGATCTCGTAACTGCCGCTAACGTCCCATCGGTCACCCTTGGCAGCGCGGCTAACATACTTGACGAAGCGCAGTGTCCCTCTGTCGCGGAGCACCAGTGTCATCTTGTTCCAAGCAGCCGCCTGGAAAAAGAGAATGTTGTCGTCGTCCTCGCTGGTCTTGTAGATAGCCGCATCTTCATCCTCATCATCGTCGCCGGCCATGTACACTTCGTGGCCGCCAACTTCCACAGTCTCCTCATCAGCCTCTTCCTCCTTTTCAACAGCCTTGGCCTTACCCTTGCCCTTATCCTTCGAGCTGCCGTTAGAGGTGGCCTTGCCCTTGCCTTTGCCCTTGCCCTTAACCTCCTCTTCTTCCGACTCCTCCTCGTCCTCTTCATCCTCATCATCCTCCTCCACATCACCCCATCCCTCCGTAGGAGTCAGGCCAATGTTAAGCTCCAGGCGAGCCTTGCCATCATGTCCGGTAGCAAGAGTATAATCCTTGCCGTGACGGAACCGCCTAGCAAGGAGATCATGACCTTCAATAGTCGACCTTGTCGCCATCTGCAACCACAGACGGAACTGTCTTGATGGCAACAGAACTTCCAGCAATTCCTTGATGGGCGAGTCTTCGGCGTTTTCCTCGCCTGGCTGCAGATACAAGAAGCGGTGCTTGTGGGGCGGGCGAGCTACCTTCCAAGACCCGGACTTCTCGATCTCCTCGCTAACCTCGGGAAGCTTCTTGGCCTCCTGAGCCTCGACATATTCCTTGATCTTGGCAGCGAACTTGGGATGCAAAATGTCGGACAGGGTAATGCTGAACTGCTCCTCGAATTGGTCTGCAATGTTCTCGATCGTGTCGGGGGTCAAGTAGGTAGGGGCGAGATACTTCAGGAGGAACTCCAAGTCGGCTTCGTCAAACGTGTTCTCTTCATCCTCGTTGCTCGACTCCTTCTCCACCTGCACGGGCTTCGCTACTGGGCGGTCGTACTGATCTGGGTTGCCCTGCAGTTGCATTAAACCACTCTTGTGGGCAGCCTTTTCCTCCGCGCCCTCAACGTAGCCATCCTCGCCGATCTGAGGGATATGGAACCATCCGCTGATAGCCATACGGATGCGGCCACCCTGCTTTTCCAGCTCCTCCTTGGAAGCATGGTATACCTCCTCGACGTCGTGGAAAGATTCTCCGGGCTGGACAGCGAAGAAGGACAACTGGTTCCACGCCGGTGGGATAACCTTGACCGGGTCTGGGAGCGGTGTCTTGGCAATCTCGCCGTCCTTGCCCTCACGGTCCTCGACGGGGAAGAGGCGCAAGGCACCACCCCACTCGGGTTTCCAAGGGGTATCGGGATCCGTCAGGTAGAGGATGTAGCTGACCTTGCGGGAACCGATCACGTCGTCGTGGCACAACAGGTAGCAGCCCGGCGTATAGACATTGATGGCCATATCGGTCTTACGTCCGCTCAAGGGACCGCAGTCGGTGATGTGGGAAACGTAATTGCGGAAGGTCTCCGAGTAAAGGGCGTCGCGAAGGGCGAGGAGAGAGGGCAGCTTGGACAGGGCATCGTCGTCGAGACCGTCGAGGTTTGCGAGATCGCCGCTCTGGTGAATCTTGTAGATGTCGGTCTCCTTGGGAGTGAAAGAGACATTGTCCTTGATCTCGTCGCGGACCTTGCGGAGGAGGGAGTCGTCGACTAGCTTGTTGATAACAGTGTGCTTGTATGGGGTCGAGGAAGCATACTCCTGCGTGTACTCGTTAAGGACGGACTGATCGAAGAGCCCCTTGCGGAAACGGGCCTTGGTGTCTTCTGGGGAGAGAGCTGTGTGCGGTGATGCGGGTCAGCCACAACTGGAAGCCGGGCGAGTATGGGGACCAGTGGACGCATTACTGTTCTTCGATCTCTTCAAGTTTTTGGCCGACTTTTTGCTGCCAGACCGCGCCTGATTGTCTGCCTTTCTCTTCACCATCTTGGGCAGGTCGATTGGCTGATTTGCACAAAGTTCGAGCCCCAATTGAGGCGACAGTGTGCAAGTGCAAATGCAGCGGGAGAAAAAGTGCTGGCCAGGAAGGTGCCGTGGGCTGATACATAAGTTATCGCAGCTCTTATCGAGCCACCAGAGTGGAGAAGCTTTCCAAAAATTTTGTCTCCGCCTGTATGTCGGATCCTCTTTCCCCACGAAAAAGAGGCCAGAAAGGCAGGGATCGCCCGAGATATCGCATGATTCGGTTTATCGATAACGACGCGGTACGTACCTGCAGCACCTAAAGTGGCCCGGTTGACTTCCACTTCAACGCTCTTTCATTCTTTTACAAGAACGAGCCCTTCAGTTTGAAGTCATGAGTGTTTTGAGATGGAGCTTTACAGAACTCAGGGACAGCTTGTCTTGACTTGAGCAAAAGATGTGACGTACGTCTCTGAACAGTGCACAATGCTACCAAGGGTGTAGGTGTCATCTACGGAAAAGACCTTGAGACTGGCAAGGAGGGAGTAGCTGTTCACATCCCTCAGGTCTGATATCGTCTGTGGTATTTGTTGTGAATTGTTTGAATCGGCGATCTCGTATAAGACAGGGAGGAAGGATTCTCTGACTCTCATTGTACTCGGGGTATTTTGAATTAGCGAAATATTCCCATGATGAGCTCACAGTCCTTATCTACAATCCTTATCTACAGTCTAAGCCTTCATGCCCTTCTATGCCGCACTCACTAGAGGTATCGTCACACACGACGTCTGTACGTTCCCTCACTCACTCTCCTCCCCTCTTCCACTCTGGTCGAAATCCCTCTCATAGCTTGCCGTTCCTCTTCTCGACAGCCTCGCGAAGTAGCGCAATAACCTCGGACGGATCCTGGGCACCGAAGACCGCGCTTCCAGCCACGATAACGTTCGCACCCGCATCCGCCGCCTGGTCAATGGTGGCGGGTCCAAGGCCGCCGTCGACCTCGATGTTCAACTCGGGATACCGCTTCCTGAGCTCCTGAACCTTGGGCAGTTCGGAAGCCATGAACTTTTGTCCGCCGAAGCCGGGCTCGACCGTCATGATGAGGACCATCTGTCACACGTGGTGTTTAGTATTTTTACTTTCCCTTTTCCGACTCTTTGTTTTCTTCAAATTTTCCATTTATTCACCCGTTTTACACAAGACCAGTCCAGCACTAGTAGACACACCAAACTTAGGTAAGGGGTGAGAGCAGGTGTAAACTCACATCAGGTCTCTCCTTGGGGTCCTCAGACTCCAAGATCTCCCAGAGAACATCGACAGACGTCGCGGGCTTAAGGGCAATACCCGCCAGCATGCCCTGGTTGTGAATGTACTTGATCAGCTCCTTTGGGCTGGTCTTCTCGTCCGACTTGGCCTCAGGCGACTCGGCGGCCGTCGAGAAGGCGGCCTCGTAGTGGAAGCAGTACAGGTCGCAGCCGGCCTTCTTGAACTCCTTGACCCATTTCTTGGGCTCGGCAATCATCATGTGGCAGTCGAAGGTGCCCTTGCCATAGGCCTCGGTCGGCTTGTCAACGTGGCCGCGGATCTTGGCGACGATGGGAGGGCCCCAGGTTAGGTTGGGGACGAAGTGGCCATCCCTGTTGAGCGTGTTAGTCTCTCATGCCTGCCCGCTGGATTGTGGGTGAGTGACTCTCAGTGAAGTCTTACATGATGTCGACATGGAGCCAGTCGGCGCCCTGGCTGATCGTCTTGGAGCAGTCATGGCCGAGGCTGGCAAAGTCGGCCGACAGAATGGAGGGTGCAATGATTGCCTTGGGCGCCATTGTGAATGTGTGGTTTTTGTGTTGAGGAGTCTTTGATGTTTATGTTCAAGATCAGATGATACGATATCGCGGTTTGAGATGGATGACTCTGCCAATCCGGTCTATTCCTACCTTGACCTAGCTGGGCGGGACGGGATGGGTATGAGGGTCCCCGATGGCGGATGGGTCGTTCCACATCCACATGGCGGAAGAGGGGCACGGTGCCCTGGCCCGTTCGCCGACCCGGCCGGTTCTGTCCCGACGACGGTGGGGCTTCACGGAGCGAAAGTGGGGATTAAAGAGCTTGGCAATGACGACAGCGGGGAAGCCAGCGAGGTGCCTGCCAGCTGGCTGTTGAACGGGATCGACCGACAGGTCCAGTTGCCGTTGACATCAGTGGAATCCCAACTGAACCGCCCCCAACAAAATTGTTAGCGAGCGCCGGGGTGCCTTCTGTATCGCCTGAGAGCTTCATTGAGTTGTCTCCATCCCATGTGATTGCAGTGGCGTGTTTTTTTCTACAACATCATCTTGTCTCGCAATCTCCCGTCGAGATACCAAGAAGAAAACATCAGTTACGTCGATTTGACCATGGCAGGTCTCCTTTCCTATGTTCCCCTGGTCAACAGGCTGGTTGGTGGTGAGGCGCCCAGAGCCATCGACGTTCCTCCCGTCGAAGTCCAAAACATCGAGACCGACGCAGACAAGCGGCCGCGGACACTCAAGCACCTCTTACGGGCTAACCATGTGAACCATTCCATCTTGTACCATGACCTGCAATATGACAACCATATGGCACATATCCTCTGCTCTTCATATAAACTGGGCGCTCAGGCACCGCAGCTGTATGACATCTATGAGGAAGAGTCCAAGACGTTGGAACCATGGAAGGACTCGCCTTCTGAGGTCTCCGAGGCAGACTGGAGGGATAACCTAGGTGACAGACGGTATCAGAGAGCCTATGTTGACTTCTTTGAGGACATGATGGTCATGAAGTACAAATATGACTGGAAGCAGGTTATTGAGGAGTTCATGTTTGGGGGCAAGCAGCCATTGATCAATGGTCTCATTTCCAGTCGTAAGTACTCAATTTCAACCTCCAAGGTCATGGTTCATTCCGCTGACCAAGTCATACAGTTGGCCATCCTCTCATCCACTTGGGCTATGCCTACGAATTCGATAATAGAGAGCTCGCCATTGAAGCTCTAAGCTTGGCGTCCTCGACGTACAATTACTTGCACAAGTACATCGACGACTCATCGTACACCAAGAAGTCTTCCTTCACCTCCACATCGCCCTCTGAGCTCCTGAGCAAGGTAGCGAACGACAGCCGATTTGACGGCCTATTTGACGAGGCCAAATTCGAGAACGTCGATGTACTCTTCGAGAAGGCCGAGCCACTGGTGTTGGAGTACTGGAATGCTTGGGAACTGTCCAACCCCGTCGAGCAATTCCGCGAGTCCCAGGAAGCGGCAATTGAGCTCCTGGTTGCATCTGTTCCACCCGGGACGCATTCTTACAACTTCTTCCTTGTCCACGTATTGACAACGAGCCATGCCGTTCGAGTGTTGCTCCCCTTCGTACCAGTCAAGTTCCACATCAATCTCGTGAGGCAATGGTGGCTCCTTACCCTGGCAGCCTACATTGCTGTGCTACGCCCCAAGGTCGATCCGGATTACATCCCTCAGGACCTGAAGGGGAAGAGCTGGAACTATGTTGAGGACAAGGCGCTGAACGGTCGGTTTGCGAAGGATGCTCATTATGTGAAAGGTTGGTTGCCCTCTTGATACTTCTTGGTTCCGATCCCTTTACTAACACACTCAACAGGGATTCGGTCAATCAGAGAGGCGGCAAGGACTTGGGGCGATGTCCATGACCGGTTCCTCGCAGCCGCGGTTCGGTTTGCGGATGATTTCGAGGGATGGTGGTAGTTTGGAGGCCTATGGGTTTGGAGTTCGGTGATGATTAAGCAAAGTGTTGCATTCTCTGTACATTATCAATGCCCTTTACAAACTCTTATCAGACTGTTAATGATGAAACCACCATAATAATCGATTCAGCGGTTGAGAAGGCGTTCTGGTTTCATACGAGTGTTACCGTTGATGAGCGAGTGCTGGGCGGTTCACATGACAAAAGGGTTAGGGTTGGCTTAGTTCTCCCTGTAAATCGTGCGTTTGCGCTGGAAATTCGGGCCAGGGCCGTGCAGTTTAGGTCGCGGTAGCCGAGTGCCGCCTATCGCGATTGCCTCCATGATGGTTTTCTGTTTAGTTTGGAACTTCGTCGCTTCAACAACCGCCGTTTTTTTAACAGCTCTCTTACATCCCGCCGTGCAATGTGACCAATTCCGTGTCGCACGCACCTGCGAAACTTGCAATGGCGCCGGCTGCAAAGCGACGCAAACGGACCATTGTCGACGACTCTGACGCCGAAGAAGACGAGAAGAAACAGACGAGTCAAAACAATCAAAACACCCTGAAGCGCTTCCTCATCGCGTCCCCCGTCGCGAACAAGTCCGCCAAGCCAGATGATGACGACCTCCTCGAAGTAATACCGGAATCTTCCAGTCCCGTTCGACCCGTTACGAGAACTACGCGCGCTTCAGCAAGATCTCAACCTCCAGCTACATCGTCTTCCACGCTCCAGAACCGACTGCCAAAAGCTGCCCCCAGAAGCCCAAGCGCAAGCCCGATCAAGTCACGGACAAGGGCACAGAAGAAACTCAAAACAGAGGAAAATGGGAGAAATGGGGACCTCAAGGTTCTCTTCTCGAAGCAAGCAGAAAGGAGCCAACCGTCTGCGGCATCGGGCGTGAGCAGCAAGGACCTCAGCGATTTTCTGGAGGATATCATAAGCGAGTCTGATGACGACATTGCTCTGTCCAAGACGGCAGCGTCCAGCTTTGTCGGACTGCAAGCTCACAGGCGCTTCAAAGACAACTCGCAAGGCACTTCCCAAGGGAGCTCGGTGTTCAGCACCCAGGCTAGTACGCTAAGCTCGACCACGGGTCAGCGATTCTTGAAGCCATCGAGGCCGGCCAGGCTAGCGGTTGCCCCAGCTGCACCAACCGAAGACGATTCTCGACCGTGGTCCGAACGATTTGCACCGACGAACCTCGAGGAGCTGGCGGTACATAAGAGGAAGGTGGGAGATGTGCGGAAATGGTTGGAGGACGTTATTGCTGGCCGGATGAGGCAGCGCCTCCTAGTGCTGAAGGGTGCTGCTGGCACAGGCAAAACGACCACTCTGAAGCTCCTGGCCGAGGACATGCAGTGCGAGGTTCTTGAATGGAGAAATCCAGCAAGTTCTTACGGTGCTCCTCAGGGATGGCAATCTGCGTCTTCGCAGTTCGAAGAGTTCTTGGGAAGAGGCGGGAAGTTTGGACAGCTGGACCTGGAAGGGGACTCACCTCCACCGGCACCGGCGCCCACCACTAACACATCAAAGCAGGGCCGAAGGCTGATCCTAATTGAGGAATTTCCAAACACTTTCAAGCGATCATCCACCGCCTTGACAAACTTCAGGAACACAATCCTCGAGTTCTTGGCGGCTAATACTCCAGCACTTACAACCTTTGCACAGGCGCCACCTGCAGACTCGATCGTTCCAATAGTAATGGTAATATCCGAAACGCTGCTTACCACAACGTCTGCTTCCGCGGACAGCTTTACTGCACATCGGTTACTAGGTCCCGAGATTTTTCGACACCCCGGGACAGGTGCCATCGAATTCAACCCCATTGCGCCCTCTCTCCTCGCTAAAGCTTTGGAGCTGGTTGTGAAGAAGGAGGCTCGAAGGTCGGGTCGCCGTAGGACCCCAGGACCACTGGTGCTCAAACGTCTTGGAGAAATTGGAGACATCCGAAATGCAATCGCATCGCTAGAGTTCCTCTGTGTCAAGGGCGACGATGACGCCGACTGGGGATCCAAGATTGCTTTTACGAAGACCAAAAAAGGATCAAAGGATGCAGCGCTGACCAAGGGTGAGCAAGAAAGCCTTGAGTTGATATCTCAGCGGGAGGCAACCCTGGGTATCTTCCATGCGGTTGGCAAAGTGGTATACAACAAAAGGGCAGAGCAGCCGTTTCCCCCGGGGTCTGAAGAAGCAAAAGCAGAGACGCTGCCTAACTACATGTCACATCTGTCCAGGCCGAAGAAATCCGAAGTTGCTGTTGACACGCTGATTGACGAGCTCGGTACTGATACCCAGACCTTCATTGCGGCTTTACACGAAAACTACGCCCTGTCGTGCGAGAGCAGTCCCCTCGACCCTAATTCTTCCCTAGACTACATGAACGGATGTCTCGATTACCTGTCCGAAGCCGACCTTCTTTGTCCATCCTGGGACATCTTCTTTGGTGGAAAAGGAGCATTCGCCGGTGGGAACTACGGCGGCAAGGATGCAGGTAGCCATATACTCCGGCAGGACGAGATGGCATTCCAGGTCGCCGTTCGCGGCCTGCTGTTCTCCTTGCCGTCGCCCGTAAAACGGCAGACACACCCCACGTCGGGTCGTGGGGGAGGAGACGCGTTCAAAATGTTCTACCCGGCTTACCTCAAGCTGTGGAGAGCCAAAGAAGAGCTGGAAGGTTGTGTGGACATGTGGGCTACAAAGATGCTCAAAGGCGAGGACGGCACGACGTTATCGCAGAGCGGCACCGCGACGATGAGTTTGACCAGCGGGGCATTGGCGTTCCAGAGGCCATCTTCGACAGCGAACCCGAACAATAACAGCGTAACAAACTGGGCTACGACACAAAGGCCTCAACCAGCCAGGCAAGAACAGACCACCGCGTCAAGTAGTTCCGCGCCTCCTCTCCTCTCACTTGGCTCCTCCGCTCGACAAGAAATGGTTCTCGAGCGTCTCCCCTACATGGCCCACATAGCCCGTCGTCGACGCTGCTCGTTCGGTTCCATGCGTATCCGGGACCTAGACAAGATCGTGTCATTCCAGGGCATTGGACCCCCCGCAACAGAGGAGTTGGATGAAGACGAAGCCGTAGGAGCGGAGGAGGCTGGGGTTACTGAGAGTTGGGCTACAGATAAACCTGTGGAGGAAGCGACGAGTCCCGGGCGAAACAAGAGAGGGCTGGGTGCGATCCTTAATCGGGCTGCGGCCAGTAGGGTGCATGGTAGTGGACAGGGGCAGGAGGCAGCGGAGCTGGGTGGGATTCAGAGCTTGGTGCTGAGTGATGATGATATTGAGGATGATTGATATGAGGGGGAGGTGGGAGCTTGAAAACATGGCAGGCAGAGGCTTTAATCACAATCAAAAGTTCAAGGGTCCATTGAGCTTGATAAGTTGATGGAGTGAATTAGGGCAGGTTCATGGTAGAAAGGGATTTTGAGCCATGTGATTAGGACGAAAAGGAATATTAGGCCTGCTTTCGATATTAGAGAGAAATAGATGAAAAACAACATGGTCTATATCGGACAGCTCAAGAAGAAATGTAACCACACATGTGCATGTAATCGAGAATGTGTGGTTACATAGATCTTGTGAGGTTCCAAAACACCAAGAAGAAATTGACGATGCTCATGACAATGAGAGCAAAAGACATGATAGAGAGCCCGAATTGCAGAACAACAACCACCGTTTGGGTATCTGCCAAATGGATGCACATAGATCTTCCAGGTCTGCCTTCAAGAAACATGCTCCTTTTGATTACTCCATCAATCTCAACTCCACAAACCGCAAAATCCAATTGTCGCGTCTGAAATCCTTAAAAAGATGTGAAACGTAGCGATGCACGAGCCATTCAGCGAGAGCACTGTTCACCTCGTGGTTGTTGTGGTTGTGGTGTTTGTTGATGTTCGCTGGTGGGCGCTGGTGCTGCCCAACCGCTGTGGTGGGGCACCCACGAGCAAATGGCAGTATATAGGTTAGGTCTTTTCCTTCCTTCCATCGGAGTGGGCCTGCTCATACGAACTCATCTCCTGCCTTTTACCGGATGTGACCGTGAGTTGGCCCAAAATACTCCAATACCCTAATCTTTGGAACAAACCATCTGGACATCCAGAATTCGAATCATATTTTTGTCATTCTTTTTGCACTTTTTTCTTGTCAGAAATCTTGGCTGCGGACATGCTGCTTCGGCTTGGAAGACGTCTGGACTTTTCTGCGACGTTTTTACTTTTTTTATTATTCTGCGTCTTGAGGTTTTTGCGACAGTTTGTTGCAGTCCAAATGGCAACATTCGTTGTTTGGCGGCGCAGCGGGCAAGTGGGACGGAGGCGAGGTGTCGCTATCGCGCGATATCGCTGTCGCGGCGGCGCACCGTTCGACACCACCAACTGCCTTGTGCGTTGCTCGCAGTGGTGAGCACGGTCCACCAACATCCCATTCTCGTTTGCTTTGCTCACGACTCCCAAACTCAGGCGCGCAATTGAGTGCGAACCACGATTCCAAGTTCGAAGCAGATGCGCGGCAGGCACACTGCAACTTACCTGTCTGAAGCAGACAACTTTAACTTCCTTGATAATGTTTTCCCCGAGGCTCTGAGGTGATTACCAACTGAAGGGATGCTAGCGGCAACAGATATTTTCGATGGTGCCTCCTGGCAACAACAACGGCACGGGGCGGACGACAAACATCGAGACGGGTTGGTTGGACGGGGTTGGACGGGTCGGAATCGGGGGGCGGTTGGGACTTGGGAGAAGGGTAAAGCCAACAACAGCACAGTTGAAGACTACCTTAGCCAACACTGACTCGGCCAACACCAACACCAACACCAACACCAACAAGCGAGACACATCCCGCGTACACATTTGAAGCTGTATCGTGTCCATGTTGGACCCGACTCCAGCTGTCCTCACTCACTCCGTTCAGTTTTACCGAGTTGCCCCTAGCAACAACCACCCTACCTACAGAGAGCCAAAAAACATTACCCCTGAACGACGGATCAACTGAAAGGAAGAGGTTCTCCACTGAGTTGCCAGTGGGTTTGAGCTTTGAAACGGGGCATGAACCGAGGGCTAGATCACAGGTTACAGATTTCCGAGATGGGTAGGCAACTGAAGTGCACAGTACCGGTATGCGTGGGATGGCTACCTTACCTTAGGACGGTGAGACTCAGTCTGAAACTCAGATATCACATTTTGTGTTGTTGGTTTGGTTAGGCAGTTGTGATTGTAACTTCTGCCTGTGACGGAAGGGATGATGGATGCCCGACCGATCATGACTGGATCTGGATCCGCTCCGATGGTGCCGGTGCCCGAACCCGACCCGACATTCGGAAGTGGTGACCCACTTTTTTCCCGTTGCAAGTCGGTCGGCATGGTCGGGTCGGGCGGCAGGTTGCGAGGTTGACTGTCGGGCATCTAATATGATCGGATGGAAGGATATATTTTGTGGATAAAACTATGTACAACACAGGAGGCAGGTTCAATACGCTTGTGATGGTTTTATCTGCCTGGCATCATAGAGAAGTAGAGCTTGAAGACGGATGACAAGTCCTCTTGATCTCGGAACTGACAGCTCACGTGGGAGAAAGATATCCTTGTTTCTAAAATAAATTTTCTGCCTTGTCTGCCAAAACTGGATTCTGACAATTGACCTTGTTCTCATCTATCACCTCAGGCAAGAAGTGTCAGGCCAAGAAAAAAAGGTGAATGTTTGCAGTGTTGCTTGATCACTAAAGCGCTCCCTTTCACCTCGTTTTACCTTGTTCCACTTGTGAACAACGATTCCGCTCTGCGCTCTTCACTGCAAGGGTGATGTGCGGTTAAGAGTGTTGAAGTAGATATCGGGGGCAAAGCAGGGTGTCTATTCGTTTTGGCTGACCACTTGGCACAAGCAATGGAAATTGGAAACATGGCAACCCGACAGTTGCCCAGGCGGAGGAGGCATTTGGTGGTCACGGAGGGGCTGGGAAATGCTTTTCGATGTCGTGCCAGATGCAGAGGTGGTTGGAGTGTCCCAAGAACCTCATGCAGCCAACCACGCAAGAGATTCAACAAAGGGAAAACTGAAAAATTGAAAACATCGAAACCAAACACGCCCCAGATGCAAAGAGCGGATGTTCGACTTTTGAGGAGGGGAGAGAGAGGTGGCTCGATGGCTGCTCCTGAGGTCAGTTGGCCTTGTCTTACATCTGATTGGTCACAACCTGCAGGGCCTGCCCAATTTGGGTTTCCTGATGGTCTCGATTCGCTTCTCATTGCAGGGCTTCAGGTCCAAACCAGTTTCCGTTCGACCTCGACAGAGCTCACGACGCCGAATTCTATGAAGGCGAACAACAATCGTGAAAAGGTCGTAGGATCATGTCAGGTTAGTCACTCCTCTCGTGGAATTCGAAGGCGGCCAATTTGGACTCTTCAGTGTTGAAATGTGTCGAGCGCAAATATCGTTACGTACTGGTCAAGCCCACAACCTCCGAAATAGACATCTTGTCTGGACATTGCCAACGACAATCATCATCGTCGCTGATGCTGGCGGTCCGGCGAGCTAGTGAAGACGATCAACCCCAGGATTGCGGTGCTGTTGGACAAATCAGCTTTCGGAGACTCAAGAAGCTATTCACGCTGAGCCAATGGATATGTGCTTAAGCGACAGGGTAGGTAGGTATGGATGGCACGGCGGCGGGGCTGTTAGGCCTGGAGGTCTGTGTCTGTTCGTTCCAGGACTTGCGTGGACTTGTTTCAGGGATCAACGATCTATCTGTCTTTGGTCAGCCATGAGGTGGTGGAATCTAGAGGGTCTGATGATGAATAACGGGCACTTTTTCCGAAGGCCGCATGGCTATACAAATGATCAATCACTGCTTCGCGGTTGAACAACGCAGCGCGTTCTCGGAGCCGGAGATCTTGGTCACGCTGCCAGAATTTCCGTACAGGAAACTCCCTGGCAACGACGACGGAGTTTTCGGTGTATTGGGCGCCCTCTCTTCACCCAACACACCGACCAACCTTTGACGGACTTTATTTATGAGCCCAGTTAGCACCCCGCTAAATTTCCCCATGAAATTCCTTGCTGCTTGCAACGCAGGTTTCGTTATCATGGTGTTGCCCGATTTCAGGCCACATGGTTCATGACATGGCACTCGCTACAAGTTCCAAGACTGGGTTTGCCCAGAGTGTATGCTGTTCTTTGCTGCTGTGAGACGGATCATAAGCTCCAAGTCCAGAGGTAGGGGGTGTGTGAGACTGCGAGCGAGCAGCAACAGGCCGGGTGCTTTTCTTTGCGTCTCCTGATGCGCCTCTCGCTTGTTCATTCCGGCGCACATTTTCATGACCGTATTAGTGGTGCCACCAACAACAAGCAACGCTTGGGGGCCGCGCTAAACGATTGCAGGCTTGTGTTCTTTTCAGATTTGGTCATGGTTGAGCAGAGGCGTTGACGGTCAAAAGTGCTGCTTGCAACAAATACCGAAAGCCGGGTCACCGGGCAGCCGAGGTGGGTCAGCGCCGAGGAAACGTGTTGGGGAAGCTGCAAAGATACGGTAGTCGGTGATCGGAACTTGCCCCATGATACGAGTGTTTCAGGGACTCGAATGTGAAGACACAAGGCGAAGCTGCCGAAGTTGCTTGCAGTCGGAAGAGAGGAGGACAACGAGAGGCGGGGAGTATTTATGTCGGGGAGCGGTCAGGTCTGGCCGGGTCCGAAGCGCTATCTTGGCGGGGCTCCTGCGATGCGCTGCCTCGCTGCTGAGGGCAATACCAATGAACACCCGGGCCACTGCCTGCCCTGTTTGCCGTGGTTTCTCATCGAGCCAGAGCTGCCTGCCTTCCACCACCTGTTACAGAAATGGCAGGAATAGCTCATATTCACCTCTACACCTGCTGGTGCGCGCGCGGTGCGTTGGTGGTGATACGAATGCCAAAGGACAAAGGAAGATGGCCGATGGCTTGCGCTCGGTCGCCGGAAACACTGTCTTGTCAGCAGCTCTGTGAGACGAGTTTTCAGCGCGATGGCTGAACTTGAGGCATCAATTAGGTGGTACCACGACATGCAGTGAAGTGAACCGTAAGTGGTCCTCACCCGAAAGCAAGTTAGTAGCAAACTGAGAACACGGAATAGGTACCAACCTGCAAGAATCTCTCAACACAACAAGGCAACGGTGGAATGATTGAAAGGTCGAAAATGAGAAGAAGAGCGCAGTGACCTGGTTGGGCATTGATACGCTTGAGGTTCCCAGACTCCTACTCATCACAGGTCCACTGCTTGAACCGACCCCGCCGCCAAGTTCCAACAGCGCATCCGATCCCCGTTGAAAGAATGTCCGAAGAGGTTGACCACAAAGACCCATGTACTCTGAAGTCGATTGTGGTTAGAAGCGGACAACAAAGATATAAAATGCTGGGAGTACTGCGATGCAGAAGATCCCTCGCGAGGACAGCTAAAGTTATATATTGCCTTCAGATGCGTCCCTCTTATCACGAGTTCCAATACCGCGAGAGATACCTCTAACTCTACGTGGGCGTAGCAAGGGTTGAATGGTGGAGTAAGTGGTTGGGTTTGCTTGGTTAACTGTTTGGACTGTATCACCAACCCTGGCATCGACTTATCAACGCTCGGAAAGGTCTTCGCTTCCAGAGTTCCAGCTGCCTCTGCCATGCTCAATGAGTGGACGCGTATCAGTTGGCGATAGGTAGCCAGTAGCCTACCTACATCCATGTAACTGCTGCCACTCCCGTCCGCTTCCGCTTCATGCTGCCAGTGTTCCAAAAACGAATTGATGACATGATTTTACGGGAATTTGTTGCTCTTGTGACGCTGTGACAAGGCGTCCCATTGCTCTGCCCACCTCCGCCCCGGTCCCGCTTCTCCCTGGCCTTTTTTCCATGGCTGATACAAAACCAACAGCACTCCCACATCACTCGCGGCCTTGTGCCTGTTTCCTCTCGATCTCTCTCCGCTTCCCTTTCCTATCCGCGGCTTGATGACCGCCGCCCTACCCCTACACCTGCTCGTCTGCTCCGGCCTACTCGAACCCGATAACAATTAAACAGCCTCAGCTCTACGGGCACCCAAGTCTACCTCTACCCGCCGAATCCGCTCGCCAGTTCCCTCCCAAACGCACGGCGGTTTCTCCTCATTTGGTCCGGCCGCCTACCTTGGATGAAAGGGTTCATCAAAACAGCGGTAAAGAACATCCCTTTCATCGTAGGGCCCAGGACAACTGGGTGTGATAAGAGAAGGGGTTAGTAGGGGCCATTTCAGTCAAGCCGGAAAAGCGATCGTGAAAGGTCATGAAGGCTGGCCTGCAATTTCGCATATTTACGGACTCGGCCGAAGTCTCTCCTCATCTCGGTGCACTGCGACAATTGTGAGCTTTTCCAACCACGTCGAGGATTCAGTCGTAACGTACCTGGCTGCGATGGGCAAAGTTGGGCTTATACTGCAGACCGATCAATAAATATCCTGTGCATACCCATGCTTCCTTCGGCGAACCTCTGCTGATTGTTGCAAGACTTGGTACCCCGTTGCGATACGACGATTTTACCCTCACATGGGACTTGGGCGAATACACTTTGGCTACAGTTCGATCTAGAGGTGCCTCGTTTTTACTCCACTAGTCAACAGTCTGTCGACTTTCTGCCTATGTCACTTGGGACCGTGAAGGGCAAACAACACACGAAACAAAGACCTCGATACTTTTATCTGATACCATATCCCGCCGAACACTTCGGAATATTCTGGGTCTAGTGACGGAAGACCCTCAGAGGGGCCTTTGAGAAGAGCAAGGTCTATGTTTGACGCTGTCTGCAGCAGTCCGTTGTGAATCCGTCGGGCTCGATCTAGCCTTTGCAAAGCTCGTTTGCCGTGACCATTCTCACCGAGCTGCTCTCCTGAGTCAGCGTGCGACTATGGACGAAATGGATTACACGATGCAGGCCTCTGTCCATCCTGTCCCGCTTCCCGGCTGGTGGGTTAATGGTCCGCAGGTCCGTGGGCAAAGTCGTTGCCCATACAGAAGTGAATTGATGGAAGGCGCAGCAAGTGGAACACAAACGGGAGGTTCTGGAGGTGGAAGTCTTGTTGGGACAACAGAAGGAGCTGGAGGAGCTGGAGGATTACAACCGAACCACGGGCAGTCAACAACAACATCCAACCACCATCCACAGTCGAGCCTTCCACACCCGCCGCCACTACTACCGCCCGCATCAACATTACACCACTCATTCTTCCTTCACTCGGGTTATTCCGACAACTCTCTCCCGCTTCCACATCATCATCAAAACTATTATTTTCTCCCTCCCATTCAGATCCAGCAGATTCCAGCATCACATGGGCCTATGCCGCCATCATTTCCCAGACATCCCTCAGACCCTTCTCCGCCCACATCCCACTCGGCGAATCGAGGGTACGATCCTGTTCACGCTGCCACTAATAGCAACAACAGCATGAACAGCCACGGCAGAACTAGTCAAGAGTCTGGCCAGGGCAATAGTGGAAACGCCGGCAACAACATGAACAACCAGGGCGGAAATCGGCAAGACGGCCATCCAGCCACTGGTCATGCTCATTCATACGGAGGCAACGGCAACAACAATAACAATGCCAATAATGGAAACGTTACCGCTCCGACCACGGGCGTCAGTGCTGGAAACACGGCCACCTCCGGTATCGGTACCAACACGTGGTTCCCAGGACAGTCCACGACGGCATCTTGGCCTCTCCCTTTTCTAGTTCCCCAAGGACAGCCTTCGGTTCCCTCCTTTGTTACACCGGGCTCCATGTCAGAGCTGTACGGCATGAATGGTGGTTCTTCAGGAAATATGGGTAGAGGGCCGGGGGCGCGACCAGCTGCAAACCCCGTATCGAACTCCGGTGCAGATGCAGACACAATTATGGGCAACACAGAAGCTCAAGGTGGCTCGGGTGGCTTGGGTGGCTCATCTGCTGTAACTGCTGCAACCGCTACCCCGCGGGTTGGTGGCTCAGACTCGGGACCGATACAGGCTGGTTGGACGCCTCAACAGGGACAGAGCCGTTCCTCTGCATTCCCCTTCCCACCACCCGGTCTCTATGAAGCAGGCTACATGTTTTCAAGCTCGCATAATCACCCCGCCCCCGGTAACAACAATCCTCTCGGCCAGGTACTGCCAGACCCAGGCCCTTGGGGTTCTCGTCACACAGGCCACGCAACCGGTGTCAACAACTCCAACCAGCATCACACGAATGCGCCCCCGCCTGGTCATCGTCGCCAGCCTTCGCATCAATCTAGTCAACCTGCACCCCCAGCTACTACGACCTCGTCGACAGGTAGCCATATCAGGCTTCCCGCCCCCGATCCTCGCTCGAGGCTCGCTCCATATCGTTCGTCAGGCATGTCGATTCCAACCGAAAGCGGCAATGACTTGTCCCATACCCTCCAGCTTCCTCAGGGTCCCCCGAATCCCCAGGGGCCCCAGGCTTCGTCATCGAGCGCTCACCGACCGTCTCGCCAACGATCAGGTTCCGGATTGACGAATACAGCTGCGCCACTTCCCGATAATCAGTCCCGCACTGGCTCCGCCATCACCTCTGCATCCGCTCCCACTTCGGTGTCCGCGTCCAATACGGGACCCCCCCTTGGACAGTCGACTTCATTCTCCCGTGGTCCTGCCTACCCCGAGATGCGAACAGAGATGGGAGTTTTCTTGGCGCGAGCTCTTCACGCACGCTCAGACAGCTTCAGTGATGACGATCTGGATTTGCCAGATGAGATACCGGGGCGCCGACTAGTCGATGAAGAAAGAACAGCCCAATTGCTCAGGGCACGGCAGGTGGCGCGCGGACAAAGTACAAAAAAGGTGGCCTCTAAAAAGGCGATAGAAAGTCTTGAAGCTGTGGATGTTGCAGACTTGCCTGAAACAGGTCGGAGTAAGTTGCCACATTGCCTTTGTGTCGCAGAAATCATCAAGTCTAACATATTAGTGTGCGATATTTGCTACAACGATTACGGTACCGTGAGCCCGGAGGGCATTACAGAGCAACCATTACGGATTCCCATGTGCAAACATGTCTTCGGCGAACATTGCATCAAAAAGTGGTTTCAGGACTCGAACACCTGCCCTTACTGTCGAGCTGAGCTTCCTACACAGCAAGTATACACTCAGGCTAATGCCCAGTCTATCAGAGAGTTTTTGGATAGTGGGCACTTCAGGCGCCATGGGAATAGAGCGTAAGTTTTGCCCTCCAGTCTTTCAACTTCTTGCTCTGACATGTTTGCAGGCAGCAGGAGTTGCTTCGTACCATGGTCCAACTCAATGAGAGGTATAGTGGTGGCCTCAGGGCATGGCAAGGACGATCGCCTCCTTCGGAAAATACAGGCAACATGAGACGGGGGCCCAGACACGGTACCTTGCACCAGCGACAGTCATCATCGGGACCTTCTGCACAAAGCAGTCAACGTCCACCTCGTGAACGGGTCAGTCTCATCCCCCCCTCGTTGGCATATTCTGTATCTGCTCTCCTGTGAAAAGTTTGGAGTTGGACTACTGACAACCTTCTTCGTGACTCAGCCTGCCTCTGATGGCGAAAATTCCTACAGAATTGCCAACACGAGCCAGATACCCTCTATGCCCCAACAACCACCGGCGGCACCATACACATCCGAACCAGCACCTCCATGGATGCATCATGGGGAAGCGTCTTTGGCCTTTGGACCTTCAAATCGCGACCCTGCTTTCCCTGATCAGGTCCCCGGCACGAGGGGTCCCGCACAAGGGCAGCCGCCTGTTCCCGAACAGCGTGATCAGCCTCTTGCGTCCACGTATCCCGGCGACAACCCCTTCCCTGGTTCTTCTACTTTCCCCCCTCCTGGTTCTGGTAGACAATGGCCTGAATAGGGACACGGGCACCATGCTTCCTCGAATCAGTTGGCCAACACTGGGGCTAGACGTGTTGCTCAGCCTTTCCCACGAGAGCGGCTCTCTGCTGCTAGACAACTTGTTCAGAATTCACGAGAGGAGGACGATACGCGTCTTGCTCGGTCAATAAACCAGGCCCTCGCTGCTGCACATCACGCGGGAATATGGCCACAAGGGCAGCGCACCGTTTCTGGACAGGATGCTCAGACTTCACCAAATAATCCCAATGAAGTTGTGGCTCGGAGAATGGAGGCCATCGTTTCTGGAGAGAATAGTCAGTCTTTCGCACAAGAGCAGCCCTCCGAAGTTGATGATCATCTGGTCACATACGTACCTGACGGAAACAACACCCTTCTTGACAGCATTGCTGCCGGCTTTGTTGACTTCAATTATTCTCAGCAACCGCCTCCTTCTCAGCAGCCGCCTCCTTCGCAGCAACCGCCTCCGCTTGATCTTTCTGGTTCTTCAGGTTCATTGCTTGAGAGAGGGCGCAAGCGTCGCCAGTCGGAGCCGTAGGAGCAGGTTAGATCTCAACGGATGGAGGCTACTTATCTAACTTCATGCTTCTCCACTTTCATTTTCACGTTCTGCTCGTTTAGACTCTTCTTCTTTCTCTTTCGCATTACTTGTTTATCATGTTTTCCTTCCGCTATCAGCAAAAAGCGTTTGGAGTTCGGGACACGGGAGCAAGCGCGGTTGCGTTTCGTTTTTCATCATCTGCATATGGCGTTCTGGTTTGCGGTTATCGTTTTCATTCATTGCCTTGTTCGAAGGAAGTATGCCAACAGAGGGATGGTACACAGCTCATGATCTTTTCATCGAGTGGTTACGCACAGTACTCGATTCACAGCACAAGATGCGGACAGATTCTACCCATCTCTTTCAGGAGAGGAGGTGATGCGGACTCAGAAGTCACTCGCAGGGTAGACGACGTGACGTAGCGCAGGTTGGAGGAGGGCTGGTTTATTTGGCTTTCTCGGGTGCAAAGGCAGGGGCACTATGAATATCAGAGGAAAGGGGAGAGTTAGAGGGAGTGAAAGGGTGAGAGGCAGATCCATGTCGGGGGTCTTTGGAGACAGATTGTTCTGGAGGGAAGGATTCATGCTCGATAGAAGGAGAACAGGTGATATGTGAGGAAACGAGGAACAGCGCAGTGAACTTAGGAATAGACCAGACATACATTGACGACTATCATTAACGCATGTTTTCTTGACTGTCTGGAACAATCAAGCCGTCACTCTTGGAAGTTGGTTCGTTTGATACACGACAGTCTCGCAAGTTGTTAGTGTGTGTGTATGTTAGTTAGTACATATGAAGACATTCCCTAAGCGGGTATAATTATCAAGAAAAGGATTTAAAAACTCAATGGTGAATGTCTCTCTAGAGGCAGTGTTCGTTCAACTTATCAAAACTCTTAATATTGTCTCAGTTTTGCCGTAGAGTCGAAAAGATGCATACAAATTATGATCTGAAGAAAATAAATATCATCCCGCTTCGTCACCATAATTTCAAATAAAAGGGGCGGCAAGTGACTTCCACCGGCATTTGCATTTGGTCGCATTCTCAACGGAGTATAACAGACAACATTTTAACCACGGTGTTCTTCAATCGGTTGTCTAGTCAAGCCCGTAGATTGCTTTGCTTGTTGTTGTTGTTGTTGTTGTCACGGCCGCAAAGCTTGTTGTGACGCCGGTGCATGCCGAGTCTCAACAGGGGGCGGCGAGTCGCAGAGCGAAGCCGAGGACACTCGGGATTATTCATGAGGGTATTAGAGGGTGAGAAAACCTCTTCCCTGCGCGCTGTCTGGGAAAAGGATACAGTAGACATCATATCCTTCTTACATCCATCCCACTTTATATCGCGTGACAATCACGCACCTCACTCTTATACGAACGAACACATCTTACTTACTTTCTTTACCTTCCTTCTTCATCTGTGGTTGTTGCAACTCATGACATGAGAGCAGAGCAAATCATCCATCCCTTCATTCACCCCGAATGCCCTTTCTTTCCATCCCATTCACCAGATGAAAATGAAGCACCATGGAGGGAGGAGATGAAGGGAGGAAGAAAGAAAGGTGAACCAAGCAAAAAGACGGAAGAAAAAGGGGCAAAAAGTACAAAAAAAAGAGGTCCGATGTGGCCACAAAGGGGATCGAACCCAGAGCCTGCTTCCCAGGCAGAGGGAGTATGCCTTCGAGATATATAGCGACGTTGACAGTTTCGGGGCTCCACTCCCTTAACCGCTACGCCACGCAACCCACAGACTCTGAGTTCGCTCCGATAGGGGAGGGGAGAAGTCGGGCTTATGTACTGCTGGGACTGGGAGTGAGAGTGGGTGCCTGTCCCGTGCCGTGTTTGTGTTCGTGTGTCCGGATCGTGAGTTGGGATGAAAGTTGTGGGGTCATCTTTGATTCGACGAGAGGTTGGGCGTTTGTGAGTGAGGGTGCGTGTATGACCTGGCAAGGAAGGTACGCGAGTTGGAGCTGCTGTGCCTGAATGGGAGAGTGGTGGGTGCTGGCCGGTCAGTAGGAAGTTGTTCCCATATGTTGTCACGTTCGTCTGTGATGGAGGATACCAGTGTAGACACATCTTGTAGGAAAACGAGATGTATTGATGGAGCTCAAACCAGGGAGAATACCTCTTCCTTCACACCTGAACCATCGTCCAGAAGTAGCTCCATCGCCTCCCCATGCATGAAGCCATCGAGATAACACTCTCCCACCAGATAGAACCTGTCTTCAGCTGTGTCGTTGTTTGCTGGCCTCAGCAAATACGGTACGTTTCCACCATACAGGATGACGATGATATCACCTTCCTTAGCACCCGCGGGACACAGTCCGACCTTGTCTCCTTCGGTCGTAAACAAACATTTGCCGTGGCATGGGAAGAATCTGAGGGGTGGATCATCCTCCTGGAACTCATCAAGGTCCTCGCACCCACGAAACCCATGAGATTGGAAATGTGAGAAGAGCTTGCTGTCCTCCTCCATAATCGCAATTTCGGAAGGGATGTTATTGCTGTCGTTATTATCACTCTTCAGCTTGGCCGACAGAGACTGTTGCCAGTTCAACTTGGTCATATCCCACATGTCCAAGACGCTCGTAGGGTCAAAGATGGCCTCATAAGCCGCTAGCATCGTCGCCGAATTCGCGTAAGGGTTTTCCTTTGAGTAGTGATAAAATTCCCTGCTCTTGATAAGATCGACGCGGAAGCCTTTCAATGCTAGAATGCCTGTGTTTGGCCTTGATAAAAGATCTACGTCGATCATGGTCTTGGCCGAGGCGCAGAGATCAAGTCCACGGTTGTTGAACAAGCCGAAGGTTCCCAAACTCCATTCGCTGCGTCCTTCGTACCAGAAGGACCATGAAGGTCTCTGAGCATGGTCGAATTCGTGTGGAGCAGCCCCTAAGGGTGACAGATCCATCCACGTGCGCCAAGGTTGTGCATGAACAGCTGATAAGATGTTGAGTGTATCGTGACACGAAATCCACCATTTTGTAAAATCCGAAAACACCTCTATCGTGTTTTTCTCGTAACTGGGGCGAGCCTGTGGGGGCAGTTGCGAGATATTGTGTGTCTCCTCTCCAAAAGACAAAAGAGCAAAGATCTTGTCGCGTGGGTCGGTGGCCTCCATGTCCAGGCCGCCGAGGAGGGCTTCGAGGATGGGTAGACGGTCGGCAGTCTTGAAAGAGAGCCCTGGTGTCTTGTTATTGATGTCTTCTGGGTTGGCATCTTCAACTTCATTGCATCCCAGATGTTGCCTTTCGATGTGGAATAGGGAGCTCCAAATACGGGGCATGATCTTGTTCTGCAAATACTGACGGTGTGTTTCCAGACAGAGGTTGGCATGAACAATGGAGTTCCATGTAAGTTCGTAAGGACCACAAAGGACAGAGACACCACCGCCTGTTGCGTCACTTGAAAAAAGACTGCTGGTAGTTGGAATCAGCCTGTTCCAAACTTCTTGGAGGACCCAAACTCGACGAAACCAGGGCAGCTCAAAGATTTGATCGAAAAACATGCCAATCTCTCCTCGAATCCAAAGCTTTTGATGCGTGTTGTGAGGGTGAAGTGGGCCTAGTTCGGTATCCTTACTTCGTAGGATGGGTAAGTTTAATAGGCGGGTTAAGTACATGAACAATGCACAACCGCGAAACTTTGGCTGTGGTGGTTCGTATGGGCAAGCTGAAGACAGCAACCGCTTGTACGAGCTCTCAACCGACTGGATCATCTGACAGTCCTCATAACTCCCTGGGTCTCCTTCACCCAGCCAAACGTAAACAGTGTGAGCGGACGAGTAAATCTCTCCCATCAGCTCTACCTGCTGGGCGCGTTCTTTCAAGTCGCTCTGCTTGATACAAACCAAGTCAATCCACAGAGTCTGCGGTTCTTGGCGGCGTCGAAGTCTCCGCAAAGCCGAATATAGGTTTCGGTTTACCGACATGCTGACGGATGCCAGTATGTTCTTTCTGTCTTTTTCGTCGCGGATCATGACGGGGTGAGGTTCCTCGGCAAACCCCCAGCAGTACGAAAGGGCGCTGAATTTGAGTCGGCCTTTCGTGTCTGCGAGAGGTGTGTAACGGAGCACAAAGCTGATAACCTCATCATCATTTTCAGAAGGCTCCAGCTCCACTAGACGAATCTCTCTGTTCACTGTATCGAGTGGGCGATACATGAGGTAGTCGTTCCATCTCGAGAAGTCGACACTTGGTAAAGAATGCCCCATTTGAGTTTGCGGAGTAACAGCCTCGACCCAAACGTCGATAGAGGCTGCCTGAACATAGTTAGTCCAGAAAACAAAGTTGGCTCTGGGAACCAAGCGTATTTCATCCCCACTATGAATAGCACCTAACCAGTCTTCCCAAGTAAGATTGAAGCATCGGTCAGTGGGACGACCGAAGTCTTCGGACGTGGAGTGATTTCGGTAGTCCCAAACGCGGTGGTGAGTGGTGTAGTCTTCCTTGGCATGGACATTGTACTGAACAACTCTGCGACGGACACGCTCTTGGCCGTTTGGCTGGACAATGTAAGCGTCGAAGAAAGTCTGGGAATCAACATAGGTTCCTTGTGTTGATCTCTCCTCAGAGAAGCCCTGGTCATGGGATGTAGTCATGAAGGCGATGCGACGGATGACATATCGAGTCCCGGCTGGGTCAGACGACGGGGGGAAAGGGACAGTGAGGGATGTGAATGCACGCGCCGGGCAGTATTCACTTATTGCGATACAGCCGTCCTCGAGGGTGGTGCTGCTGGTGAAGTGACGCCAAGCAGCCAACGGAATCAGGTCGTCGGAATCGGAAGTCATCCTGAAGTTGGCAGCTCAAAAAGGGATATGGCTCGTGGAAGAAGTGGATGATCAGATTGTTGAGAATTTTATCCGAGTCGATCGCGGCAGAAGAACGCCGATCGTCATCGAGCCTTGCGGTAGAGACGGGCTGAGCAGCCATTGCGGCTGTGTGGTTACTGCATCACGATCACTGATGGTGTGCATATTCCCGTGACTGAAAGAGTAGATATAGATATGGGCTTGTGGGAGTGATTGGTGATTTGGACCGTGGTGGTGTGTGATGTTTGAAAAAAGATGGTGGGCTCCCGTCTCCCAAGTCTGGAGTCAAGAAAGCAAGTGAACTGCGGGGAGAACACGATTCCGTCGCCCTTCCCCAACCACGCTCCAGAATCTCAAGTCATCGATTGCACTTGCCCGTTCGATTAAACCGGCCTATATTCCAGTTTTTGAGTGTTTTGGTGGAGGGAAGGTACGATGTCCGAGCTCCGTGAACTTTTTGATTAGGACGGGGCAAGTGCCACGTTGGTAGTGGATAACTTGAGCCGCGCCGACCGGACTTGGGACGAGGGGCCGGCCCCGACCATGCCGAATGGTCGTAAGAATAAACCGAACACGTTACGGTCAGTACATTACACCTTTGGTATACTCTTTTTACGCATCCAAGCGTCTTTATTATATCTTTGAACCTAACTTCTAGGCAGTTCCTGAATGGAAGAATCCCTAGGTGACTCTGGCCGATGTGTTTTCAAATTATTGTGATCCCTATCACAGTTTGGTAACGGCCTTTGTTAGCTAAAGCGAGCCGTATTTATGTTCGGTTTATTTTTACGACCACTTCGCATGCCGGAACCTCGGCTCTTTGCCCCGAACCCAGCCTTTTGCTTCCCCGGAATTCGGGCCCGCCCACACCATCCAACCTCTATCGTTGTATCGCGCCTGTTCTACACAGTAGCGTCGATGATTTCTCATCAAAGACTTTGATACACTCTCTGAGGACTCGTTTTGGATATCAGTTTTGGAAAATTCTTCAGGCTTCAATTCGGTGGTAGGAGTAGGACTGAAATTATTTCTCATTGGGGCATCTCCATCAAATAGGCGGTGTCTTGAATCGTGCACCTATCGCATCGGGGCGAGCATTCTTCAGCAGCAGCCCCAGCACCAGGCGAAGGTCAACTTCCACTTCCCCAGAGTCCCCGCTTCTATTCCCGGTCACGGTGCCCTGTCGAGACATTAGCGCCACTGTTACAGCCGCGGTCGCTGTCGACGACAACAACAATCTGTTTCAGTACTTATACACCGTGAACCCGCCTGCGCAACACCACACCCCGAACGAATCCCGGCTTCCTGGTTGCGCGCATCATCAAGAGGCCTTAGCGCAGAGATCCATAATTGTTAGCACCTGTGTTACTCAACATTGAGCCATCATGGCGGGACGGGTTCGTCATCCCATCGATGTCAGGGCCCTCGAGTCATGGCTGGCCCAGAAGGTGCCTGATATCGAGGCGCCGCTGGATATCAAGCAGGTGGGTGTCCGTTCCATTCCGACTGCGCTGCTGACCACCATTCTAAATCTTTCCCGTCTCTTCACACAGTTCGGCTTTGGTCAGTCCAACCCGACCTACCAATTGACTGCCGCCGATGGCAGGAAATATGTCCTCCGCAAGAAGCCCCCAGGAAAACTGGTCTCCAAGACCGCCCACAAGGTCGAGCGCGAGTACCGCATCCTGACTGCCCTCTCCGACACCGACGTGCCCGTGCCCAGGACCTACTGCCTGTGCGAGGATGAGTCCGTCATCGGCACCCCCTTTTACATCATGTCCTTTCTCGACGGCCGCATCTTCGAGGATCCCATAATACCCAACGTGCTCCCCGACCAGCGCCGCGCCATCTGGAGCGATGCCGTCCGCGTCCTGGCCAAGCTGCACCGCATCGACCCTAAGAGCGTGGGTTTGGAGGAGTTCGGCAAGCCTTATGGCTTCTACAGCCGTCAGGTTTCCACCTGGAAGACCATCTGCACCGCGCAGGCCAAGGTCGAGGATGTCGATTCGGGCGAGGCGGTCGGCCAGCTGCCCTTCTTCGAGGAGATGATGCAGTACTTTGCCGATGTGAGGCAGCAGCCGGCCGACAGGGCGACCCTCATCCACGGTGATTTCAAGATCGACAACCTCGTCTTCCACAAGACGGAGCCGAGGGTGATTGGTATTCTAGAGTAAGTCACCTACAACCTCCACCACCGCCACCCATCTTCCTCAACCCACACACGGAACTAACACTCTCCCTCCAGCTGGGAAATGTCCACAATCGGCCACCCCCTCTCCGACCTCTCCAACTTGCTCACGCCCTTCTACACCGCCCGCCTCGACCCTCGGCAATCCGTCAACGTGCACCCTGGCTTCCTTCCGCGAGCTACGCGCGGCCTGCCGCACGTCGACGAGATCACCGAGCTCTACTTCAACGTGACCAGCCCCATGGGACGATCCACCTTCGAAATCTCGCTGCACCGGCAGGCGTCACCCGCCGAGCAGCTGGAGCGCCGGCGCGAGCTCGCTTGGGCGCAGGCCTTCAACATGTTCCGGCTGTCGGCCATCTGCCAGGGCATTGCGGCGCGGGTGGCGGGCCGGCAGGCGAGCAGCGAGCAGGCGAGGAGGTATGCTGATGCGAGGGATCCGATGGCGAGGTTTGCGTGGAGATTGTGCCAGGATGTGGAGGAGAAGAGTCCTAGGCCGAGGATATAGACTGTACTCTGTTTTAGCAGAGGGGCCATCTCGGCCCTTCTAGTTGTTTTGGATTACTTGATTTTTGGGCATCATCAGTCATATCTTGGATCAGTTCATGGGTTTGGAGTCGATAATTAGCCAGCAAACCAGCAAGCCAGCCTCTTAGTATATAGTCCATTCTTGTCTAGCAAAGTCAAGCAACTAACTGTTTCAAGAATGGGCTTTTAACAACTGCAAGCTTTGAAGTTAACCAGAAGCACAGACAGGCCATCTCCCGGGAAGACTCAATGATTACTTCGTCAGCCTTTAACCAGTCTTGCCAGTCTGCTACTATTAACATCATTGTATGACCATACTGAAGTGATATTGCAAGGCACTCAGTTAAGTAAAAGCACTTACACCCATCCTCTACTACCATAACCCTTGACCAGAAAACATATTCCTATCAACCACTACCCTTCCACTAAAGCATTCTTTTCCTTCTTCTTTCCCTCAACCTATCATACCCTTTCCTCACGACCCTCACCTCTAACTCGTTTCACTTCTTAACCAACCGATACTTGCCCCCACTAACAACCTCCATCTCCCCCTCGGCAATCTTCTCCGCCAAAAACTCCCCCAGCTCCTCATTCGTCCACGGGAACCCGTCCGCAATCAGCATCTTCATCATCATGGCCATCTGCGCCAGCGGCATCGACGCGCTCGCGTTCGTCAGCATGCCCTTGATGTACTGCCAGTACATGGTGCGACGTTCTAGTTCCTTGGGGTCTATGGCTGGTTTGTTGCTTTCTTCTTCGGGGCCTTCTGCTGCTTGTCCTGCTTCCTGGGGGGATGTCGTGGAAGTTGGGTGGTTACCGAAGGGGTCATCATCGTCCTTGGTGGGGTGGTCTTCTTCGTCGACAATAGGGTCGCTGAGGCTTTCGATTACGACGTAGGTGTAGGATCCCCCCTGGGGGGAAGAAGGGGAGCGGAGACGTCGGAGGACCTTCTTGGAAACCCAGTACTCAAGGCAAGAGGTAATCAGGTCTTCGTCCATTTGGAGGGTGGTGTAGAGCTCGTCGACGGTGCGGCGTGCCCCGGGGGGTTTGCTTGCGTTGTTGTCGATTTCAATGTCGTCGTCGTCATCGGAGTCGTTGAATGCATAGATGACGGTTGCTTGGGGGGTGGTGCAATCGATGGTGACCGTGCGGTCGCGCAGCTCCAACTCGACGCGGACGGTGCCGAGCTGGTTGAGCCAGGTGAGCTTGCGGTTCGACTTGAGGTGCTCGTAGCCCTGTTCGTAGCGCTTCTGCTCTTCGATGATGGGGTCGGGGAGGAGGAAGTGTTCGCGGTCGAGGGCGGGCCAGAAGAGACGGGAGAGGATGCGGGCGTGGTATTGGGTCGGTTCCTGTTGCTGCTGTCGCTGGAGTGCGGCCTTCTTCCGCTTGTCTGCTGATCGGAGGAAGTGGCCTGACATCATCACGGGCGTCGCTGCCGTTAATCTCCGCTGCTCGTCCCAGGCTCGGCGGATGGCGACGTCGAGGCGTCGCGAGTCTTCGATGTCTTTGATCATGACGTCGCAGTTCTGGAGGGCCGCCTCGCCGAACCGCCGCTTCAGGAGGTCGAGGACCCGTAGCTCTTGGTCGAAGCGAGCTGGGTCACTGAGGCTCAGCAAGCGCTCGGCGACGATGGAGGCAAACTCCTTGATGAAGACATCTTCGCTTCCGAGGGCCGAAATGAGCGTGCCGATGACATCTTCACTCTTGGGCCGCTTGTAATTGGCGCCCGCATCGACGGGGTCTGGAACCCAGTTCATGTCGTTCCAGTCGAGCTCTTCATCTTCGACGAGGGTATGACGGGTTTTGGTCGGATCGTTCAGGAGGAGAGCAAGTTCTACGAGCTTGCCAGTACCGGAAGCTCTGCTCTTGATCGGGGTTGCGCCGTGAGCTTTCGAGCTGGATTCATCTAGGCCATCTCTTTGCCTTGTTGCATTCGGGGTTCTGCTCGATCTTCCTGTCGTGGTAGGTGTCACAACTGGCCCTTTGTTGGCACCGCGGCGCGTACTGGCTTCTGGCCTTTTTCCGGCTTTCTTCTGTTCCGCCTGTTGCTTGCTAATTTCCTTGACCTTTCTTGCGGCACGCACTTCGTCCGGGCTGGCCAGCAGGCCTGTCACCACGATGCGTACTGCATCTTCGCGCTGCCACAGGTAAAGTTTCAGAGACGGTTCAACGTGTCCTAGAAGGACCTTGCTGTGATCGAGAGCGTGAAAAGTGTGGATAATGTCAATGTAGGTCTGAAGAATCTCGAGTGTACTGCACCCAGGGTGTAACAGACGTGTCTTTAAAGCTTGGGTAAAGTGTGATGTTAGTTGAAGCCTCCTGGCGGAGGTGGTGATGGTTGCGCGCAGGTCATCAAGTGCTCCCCGTGAATCCGGCCACGCCAGAACGATATCGAAGAGCTCAGCAATGCGAAGCGTCGACAAACGACTAAGAGCAAGTGACTGGTATGTCTTGAGGTCAGAGAGCGTGACCGGTGACACAGAAGCATGAGAGATTCGGGACAGGACCTCGAAGCTCAACCGGGCAAAGTGGTTCTCAACCCAGTCCATGAGGGAGATGATACAAGGCGAAGTGACAGATGAACCGGTACCCCTAGACACCGTATTCAAAACGCTTGACAAGCTGCGTCTGTCCGTCGCCGACCATACTCCAGCATATGCTCCGCACACAAAAGCCGACATCATCCAGTCCATGACTTCGGCGAATAATACCTGGAAGCGCTCACCGGCAAGACCCACGTTGTGTAGCTGTTCAACAAGCTCGTGGAGACGTTGTCTCGCTGCCAATGCTTTGAAGTCATCATCGGTAGGGGGAGCTGGCCGTCGAGATTTGAGGTTACGCGCACCATCATCGTCCTCAGATGGAATGCCTAGGACGTTGCCTACGAGACGGACTAGAACAATCCGCAGAGATTTCGTTAACTGCTGTGAGATCGAGTTCCCTACGAGGGCGTGTATATCTCTCCGAAAGTGGTTTGCCAAAACCTCGACATTTACAGCTGGGGTTCCAAAGGCAGCAGCACTTTCAGCGTGGGTGATGCCCTTTACGAGTAGGTCGAATCCGTGTGAGTAAAGTCTTAGGGCAGCCTCAAGTGTACGAATGCTGCTCATGACAATGACCATGTGACGCTCATAGTGGCTGTTCTTGGCCCGCTCTTGATCACTCCCTTTCCTTTCTGGGTCACCATCTCCAGTGCTCCCCGTATCCAAGCAGCCCGATAACAGAGGTATCACGTGTTGTGAAAAATGAGCTCGCACCTGGTGGGTATGCCAGGCAAAGACATCGTCCGTCCGTATGGCTCCGGGCAGTAGCGTCGAGGCGTGAACGATATGGGCCAAAGCGTCACAGAACTCGGCATTAGAGGGCAAAGCTGCGTCCGGTGGTAGGCTACCTGCCAATGTTGGTGATGTGACGGAGGACGGGAGGGTAATTCGAGCGGTTACGAGACGCCAGGCATTATCATATGCAGCCTGGTCACCAGTCCCTGTATCTGGAGCAGCGAAGAAGAGTTGTGAAGGCTGTGAGCCGGCGGTAACGGTGCTGTGAAATGAGTTGGAGGGGGTGTGTGAAACTAGAAGACCTTGGTCGGGTGGGTTGAAGAAAGCGGGCTGGGTAGTGTCCTGGGTATCCTCGTCATAGAATGAGCCGGAAGTCACTGTTGGTCCTGTGCCAGAGTGATATTGGAGTCCTTGGCTGAAGCTAAGATTTGCTGATGGAAGCGGTACTGCCTGTGGTGTGGGTGGTGACAGGTCCGTTTGGAAGACAGACTGGAAAACACGTCGACGACGGTCCTGCCAACGTGAGGCGACTGCGGCTGGCATGGCTGGACGAGATATCTGGTATCTTGAAGCCTATACGGCGGAGGAGAGGCGATGCGGACCTGAGTGGGATGATTGGTGACTGGTCTAGTCTAGAATGTCCTAGCTGTTGACTTGTAGTGCATATGCACGCCCCGTTTGGCGCTTGCTTTCAAGATCGTCTGCAGGGGACAAATCGGAGTTGACCAAGGTGCTCAGAGTTGAAGTGAAGTTATCGTTGTTTTCATCATTGATGGTGATGGTCGTCACATCTGGGTCAGCCGCCCAAGCCACGAAGCAAGTATCCACTGGCAGTTAGTCTTGACGTCGGCGGTGTTGATGCCTGGTGTCTGATGTGAGAGGCTGAAAACCTGGGCTCACGAGATTCCTGTCGTCGCAGTTGTTGCGTTGAAGCTGTTGACAAGGAAGGGACGGGATGAAGCTGCCCTGCGTCTCTCCACAGCAACAAACGCGCCTGTGGCATGCCTGCAGGGCCCGGACGCGGCAGCGGCGGCACAGCCCTTGGCACAGTGGTGCACTGGCCCACCATTACTGTACCGCTGCTGTGCGCTAATTTGATGCCTAAGCGCTTGCCGCCCAGTTGGTCAAAACACCGACCAATCGATGACTCAATCATCACACCTTCTTTCTCCTATTATCTCTTCATGATGCTTTCTAGAACCTCATTCGAAGCTGCGCCTGCGCCGCGCTCTCACGTTTCTGCCGCCCATTCGCTTGTCCAAGTAAGAATCTACCAGCCTAAAGCAACCGTCAGATCATTATCAACACTACAACTGTTCACGTCGAGCATCATCTCCAGTTGGGCATTGGTGATAAGCTATGGCTACCCGACCAAGCTAGCCCTTCGGGGAGCAGTGCCCTCATCGCACTCACTCAGTAACCGCACCACAACTTTTTATGTCAGTATCGAGTTATTCAAGGGTGCCACTCGTGTGCCACTCACAGTGTTTATCGGGGCATTCAATGTCATTTCGCCATCAAGTCTGGCCCTGGCTTCAACCGATTCGGTTCCAAGCTCCGTCCCTTCAACCGTTCTCCCGGGATTGGACCGCTCACCCCCCGGTGTTTTGCATGACCCATGGAGATGGCTCGCACATGGCACAGACATTGTACCTGCTGAAAGTGGTAAAGGACGCTTGAACTAACGGCTGTCAGTGGTCAGTAAAACTGCCATTATACTGTCCCTCTCCCATAGCGGGACACACCAAGGGGCGGGACAGTATTTTTGACTGTCAGTTGTAGTACAACATCATTTAAAAGGTGAAGAGGACAGTAGTGAAGAGGACAGTACACGATGCGACCGGTTCTCCCTCTTGAAGACAAGCTATTCTTGACTTTAAGTACTACACCTTGCTTTGGGCTATCAACGTGGAGTGTCTGCGTTTGTCACCGGCATATAAGCTTCATAGAGGCCTAGCACGCCTAGGTAAAGTCTAAGCCTGCGAGATGGCGGAATCTTACCTGGTATGAGATCAGAACTTCTTCGCTTCCGAAATAGCATATTCAAGGTAAGATCACGCTTTGGTCATGAAACGAAACGAATCAATTAGATAGGAAAACGCCTAGGGAAGTTGACCCGAGGTCTCGAGCTAACAAACAAATCAGTATTGGACTGTAGGTATGGTCATCCCACTCGTCCCTTACCGCCACCGTCTGGTAGTAGTCCCTGTCGAGTCTGTCCCCAAGAGGTCTTGTCTACATTCAAGCTGCCTTCCCTCCCCTCTTAGAAGTACAAACCAAAGGCAATCAACAATACAAGTGACAGCACTGTATCCTTTCACAAGCCGATACAATATCTACCCGTCACCCTACCCAAACCTAATCTATCACTAACCACCCAGAAAGGCCACCGGGATGCCGCCCAACACCCGGTTCACCCACCCACCTACCCATCTTACCCATCTCCCCCATCTCCCCCATCTACGGTACCTAGGCAAGCTGCCAACAGAGTGCAAGATCGGTGGTGGCGCCCAATACATGTACTCGCGGCACCGGTCCCCTCCTCCGACATGACATGACATGACATGACATGATATAAGAAAACAACACCACACCACATTACAAGACTGCAAGATGTTCATTCGGGTAATAAGGGCAGGTAAGGGCAAGAAGGTGGTAACCCACTAGCCCGAGCTCCCGGTGCCATGCCCCCCGAATACGCACGTGTGCGGCGAGGGGTTTCCAAGTTTCCGCCTGTTGGGTGGGTGTTAAGGTCGTTGAGTGGCACGGACGTGAAGGGGTAGGTAGGATGGTAGATACCTCTAGGGGTATGGAGGTATGTATGTATGTATGTATGTAAGGGAAAGGGGTAATCACCGTTACGTTTTTTGTTTACGCTATTCGGAAGTATCCATCTCCTGGAGGTGAGCTACGGCGTGGGAGGCGGACTGGGGGGTTGGGCCGTTGGGTTGGGTCTGTGCCTCCCTTCGATCTGCTCGTCTGTTGTCACAAGCTTGGAAGTGGGTGATGGATGGATGGGATTGTAATAGTCTGGTTGGGATTCATTGCTGTTTTCCGTTGTGGAGGGATAATATCGAGCTCCATTTCAGGTAGTTTGGGACGGGAACCCCGGACGGAAGTTGATGGGTGATGTTCTCCAGATGAGCTGTAGTGTATTTAGTTTACCTGTACCTGACCGCGACGAGACACTCAGAGCCCTTGTCTGTGGGGTTATCGTGAAGGTAACGTTCGTGCGTCTGGTTTTGCTGGTGCCTAGAGGTACCTGTAAATCGGCCAGCATATGTCTCTGGAGTTAGACACCTAGGTAAGTTACGGGGTAGTGACGATCCCCCTTGCGGCCCCCGTAGGATAGGACCGAGTGGCATAGTACTTGCTGTGCCCTCCCCGTGCTGAAGAGCGGACTTTTGTCTCTGATCACAGCAGGTTCTGCGGCGAGAAAGGACGTGGGATCTGCATAGCTAAGCATTGTGTAAGGGATTGATGGTAATCGATCATCTTTTCGTTAGTTGAACACCCTTCCGTGATGCCATACCCCGATTCACTGCCCCTATTAATGGTATACCGTTGGCTGCAAAGCTAGAGCCTCTTTTTCTCATCATTGTGTAGATGTCCGGTATAGGAGGAACTCTTCGGTTGTGGATGGCCGATAGGGCTTTCTTTTTGGGAGTGAGCACAAGCCAACTCAACCCAGGGCTCGCAGAACCCACGAGACACCCACTGTGACTCCAATATCAGAGTGTGAATGCCAGCTTGAGTGTTGGCTTGCGAGTGTCTATCCACAAAACAAGCATCGCTTCCACCGCTCTCCGCTTTTTGCTTTCGGGGGTACCGCAAATTCTCACTCATAACGGAGATGCTCTTTTGGGGAAGGCCACACCTTATGCAGGTGTTTTGAGCTTGCTCTTAGCTACATATGCAGAATCTTGCCAACTGGATTGGTTCATAATCCCAGTATGATCCACAAAGCATTTCCGTTATGAATGAGAATTTGCAGTAATCCGGCATGTCCGGATATAAGCATGCAACGATGAGGAAATCTCAATTAGGTACCAGCCATTGTTCTCCGAAAACTTGCAGGCAGACAGTTACAGCACTTGTTACGTTTGCTGGGGAGCGAGTTGATGGGGTTCCCGACAAAGTCGATGGACAGGCATTGTGCGCTGTGAAAGCTTCTGCGAGGTTCTTCGCGTTCACACCCATCCCAGTACGTGGTGGACACTGAGATGAACCGTCGGGTTGCGATCCGTTGGAGAGATCAATGAAGCACGCTCCACCTAGGGGGCGTCAGCTCTAAAGTTCCCGCGATGATGATTCTCGAAAGAGCATCTCTGACGCCTTTGAACAAGGCTTTTTGTCAATGACCCTCTTTGACTGGTTTCTCAGCCCAGGACAACCAGGGCATACCTCCATGGAGTAACTTCCCACGATGACAGAGCTGTAATGAACATGCGTTATTCAGAACGACGCCTTTTTTCTACGATTGAAGTCATTCTCCTTACTGATCTTCAAAGAAAAAAGGACGTTCGCGTTCGGAACAACGGTTTCCGCGGACAAAATCTTGTTGAAAAGTCTTGAGAGATGATAGACGTACCCGATAGAACTCCGCCAGACTCCAGTTTTGATCTCCGTATTCACTCTCGGTGGTCTGATGATGGATCCCATTACGCAGTAGTGTCTGAATAGTCGATATACATCGCCACCACAATGCAACGTCGGTTTGGTAGGTCTAGTAGAAAAAGGCCGCGAAATTTGGCTGCCTTGGGAAGATCCATGCTACCGTGGCACGAGGTTCTCATTGCTTCTTTTCATGGTCGTGATCGATGGAGAAAAGCAGGCCAAAGTCACCTCAACACCGACAGCGTAGTACTTCTGCCCGTGTCTTGCCCCTTTATTTGGCCTGCTCCCCTACCTATTCTAGGCCCTCATGCCGCGCCGGGGAAGAACCCTTAGCTTTCGGTCCCCAGTCATCGAGTGCTTGGCATTATTCGGTATGGTTTCAGAGAACCGTTAGCGTTCCGTGTTTTCTGATATTCATGGTGCTCGCATTTTTGAACCTGAGATTGGTAGTCGACCTCTAGCACCGGAAAGACAGATAAAGGGGTCCTGACGTACTTGTGGTACGTTTGTTGCTGAAGCCTGTGTCCATCCAGCTTCGGGGTTGATTGCCCTACAGGGCTACAGGGCTGAGGGGCTGGCCTTTGTACACAGGCCTAAAAGAGATGACCGCATGGGGTACCTGCTATCCCTGCCGAAGATACTGTGCTATGTAACCGAGGCAGTGTTCTGTGTGATGCTGCGTAACTCGATGATACCTCAGAGTGAGGGCAGAGCTCAATGTGTGATTTGGGGAAAATCGACAGCGATGTTTCATATGCCTTGCTTTTCGCCATGTGAAGATTGAAGAGAGAAAGGACGGAATATGCCACTCGTTTGCATAGAGGCATCGTGTCGGATATAAACCGCCCAGGCCGTTTAGGTATATGAATTCAATGCCACAGAGTTATGAACTCATAGTGAGACAGTATGACTGATACACGGCACTTGGCGCAAGTACCTTGTACGTCCAACAAACGAGGTAACTTGAATGGACACTAGGTGGGGGGCCTGCTGAACTGTATATGTGATGTATGTATGCTTACTAGTAAATATTGTCGATGTTCTCTAGGGTCACATCTCGCGGAATGGAGCCGGTTATGTGTGAGAACCGTCGACGAAGAAGGAATCCCGTGATCCCGTGTCTTGTTCGTGGGGGTGCTGCCCAACTTGAAGTGGAATGACAGCCCTACTGCCCATGACCGAGTCCATGGCGCCACTCAATCTGGTCAATCTGGCCGTGTCCGTACCTGGTGTACATAAGCGGGCCATCGAGGTCAGTGAAGCTGAATTGGGGCTGAATGTGATTGCGGCATGGACGGGAGCTGGAGTTCAGGGTGACGGCGTTGTGGAACTGGGATTGTAACACCGATGCACAAACCTGCAAGCCGGAGATGGTGAAGTCGGTGACCTTAACAATTATTGCAGAAAACCAATGATAGTCGTGAATCGCAGGCAAAAGTGGATCCTGGGTCGCTCAGAGCTCAATTACGGGTGTCCATCGGCATCGTGTCCCCGCAGGAAGGCGGTCGATCCGCCGTCCAGGATCCAGCCAGTCAGGTCAGCAAACGTTTGGATAATCGGGAAGGGGAGTGTCTGATAACGCGGTTATGCTTCCAGTAGAGAAATAGGTACGCCGAGCGGTGTTATTCTTCAATACGGCACATCGCAAGTCCCAACTGCATGGCCGGTCGAGTCGGCATCCCCTGCCCGAATTTGTTGTCCTGCCACTTTGATCGCCGGGCCCACTTCGGCCTTGGTGGTCTTTTGTGGATGGCCTGCGGGGCCGTGAACGTCGGGAAGAGTGGAGACAGCCGAACAACGTTGATCGGCATGGTGGAGCATGTTGAATTGTAGAAAGTGGTTATTTCAGTGTGTTCAGTTGAACACTTGGGAACATGGCGACCTCGGAACAATGTTGGAACTACACTTTCGAGAGTATTTGATATCGGGAGTAAGTGGCAGCTAGGTTATGTGTTGAAGACATGCGCGCTTGAGTGGTTGGTTCTGCATCCGGATAATTTGTTGCTGTTGGCTCCAACATCATGCGGGCTATACAAGTAACTGCATAAGTAGGTTTCTGAGACCCACTTTTGTGGGGCCCACTTTTTCTTTCTATTTTAGGTTAGATTTCAGGGACAGAGGCTTCTCCTCTTCTTTTTCTCTTCAGATAATCAATCACTCTTTTATCCAACCCTTGATTTTTGGGTTTTTATAATAGACAATACCGGATTATAGCGAAATTCCATTCTTTTCTAGCCAAATATTGCTGTTATATCTCTACGATATTTTTCGTTATTTCTTTAGGAACTTTATTTATACCCCATTAGCAATAAGATCATGACAATATAAACTTCGCAACTTAACGAAAACTAATAATAATAGTAGTATTTTAATAGTAGAGATAAGGTAGCAAAGCTAATAGAAATAATAATATTTTTCAAAAAATCAAAAAAATCCTAAACCATAGAAAAATCCCTACAATAAGATTATAAATATTCCCGGAACCACAAAAGAAGGGAACTCCAAACTACCTATTTCTAATACCTCTTTATATTAAAAAATCATTTAGGTAATATCGGTTAATATTTAGTTATATTACTATTATATTCTAAAATATTAGGATAATATTTAGAAAATATTAAACATTATCGTAAAAAAGAATTTCATTCAACCTTACCGAAACTACAATTAATATCGATATCGAATAATAGGAAGTCCCTTATTATTATATTACCATTTAGCTTTTAGAACTTTTAAATTTTTAAAAATTTCGAATTAAGTTTTTAATGTAGATATGAATAGCCCTTCGAAGGAAATTGAAAAAGAGTTTAGGGAAAAGAAAAAACTTAGTATAATAAAAGGTTAGTAATTAAGGAAAAGTAAGTATAGAAGAATTTAAGAAAGAAAAAATTAGGAGAAAGATACTTTAATTCCAAAGGAATATATTAAAACTCCGAAAGTTGTAGCTAATCCTTCTACTTCCTCCGAAAATTGTATCGGAATTTCTAATTTTCTATTCGCCTTTAAATAAGAAATATTCGGTAAAGGAGAAAGGTACGAAAACTTACAAATCGTATAAGAAAATTATAACTTTAGTAAGAGAGAAAGTTTAGGGGTATAAAAGAATGTTCCCCCCCCCCCGCCCTAATTTATTTAATTTTTTTTCTCTTTATTATTAAATATATTCTTCTTCTCTTAAATATTTTATTAATATCTACTTTAATATTAATATCTTTATTTTTATTTTTATTTTTTTTATTAAAGAATTTTTAAATGAAGTTTCAACAATTTATTCTTTAATTTAATTACTATTAACTATTTCTTTGTCTTATATATTCTACTAAACTAAATATATTATTTTAATCGTCTATAAACGTAGACTTTTATTCCTTTCGTTAATTAAATTCAATCTCGTCTTCTCCAGAATATTAAAATTCCTTAATATACTATTCGGTAGGTTCTGGTAATAATAATTCTAACCTAAACAAATTAATATAATATCTTTCCGTATTCGATATTAATTATATTCCTCTATTATTTAATAACTATTCTCTTCCTTTATTCTAATTACTTCGTATCTTATCTATTAAAATATCCGATATCTAATAGCCTACATTCTCTACAGAAAGGACGGAAAAATCTAATGAATATATTAAAGATTTATATATACATATCGATTTATATAACGTTACCGCCGATCATTAAAATAAAATATTTAAATATCGTTTTCGCTGCGGTTTTAAAAGTAAAGCCAAGGATTAGTAGAATATTAAATTAAAGGATAATGATAAGGTGATTTAGAAGAAAATTAAGACTAAATTTCTAAAGAAGTTCAAAAAAGAGGAGGATGCTAATACTGATAATTTAATTTTAATAAAAATTTTAAATTTTAATCGCAAACGGGGAGAAGATTTTAATTTTTAATTTAAATACGCCAAAAAATTATTCCATCGCATCAAAAATAAAGAGTACCGGAATTTTCTAACGATTAATATATAATCGTTAACTTCAATATCTTAGGTTCGAAGGAAAACTATCAATTCAAGGCAAAAATTGAATACCAATTACTAACTATATAACAAATAAAATTTTTAATAAAGGGTATTCCGGAATTTACGGGAATTTTCCTAAATATAAAAATAATTATAATATCTATCTAATAGAAATAAGGCAATACTATTAATAATTCGGATTCAGATTTAAAAGACGGAAATCGGTCGGTAATATTTAAAAATATAGGGAAGATTTAAAAAAACTTAGCCTCAGTAAGGGTAAATACCAACGGAATATAACCTTTTTTATTAAATATATTATATTTAAATTCTGATTATAGAATTAGGCGGACGGAAATTCGTAGAACTATTGAGTAGTACAATAATTACGGGATTATTGAAGGAGATTATTCTAATTAGAAATATTAAAAATTATAAATTTCAAAGGAATAATTTAATACTAATATTAAAAAACGGTTATGTATTTAAAATAAAAGGTATAACAAAAATTATATTCGGAACTAATCCCTAATAATAAGCGTTAATATTATAGAAGTAACGTAAAAATCTTTAATTCTACCGATCGATTAGAACGATATATACTAAATTATAAAAAATATATTATTCTAAATCCGTAATTTAGAGGTAATAAAGGGAATAAATATCCCTAAAAGTAAAATTAGGAAATCGAAGATCCGTAAATTAATAATAAATTAGAAAAATAAAAAGACACGTACAAAGTAAATAAAATAAAGTTTCAGAAATTTTAAAAGTTTAAAATTATTAAAATTATATCTACCTAATAAAGAATTAAATATTAAAGAAGATTAGATAGAAACTGATAAGGCAAACCTCGAAAAAGAAGTAAAATTTAAGGAAAAGGAAGAAAATGTAAGAGAGGTAGAGTTTTAGAAGATAAAATTTAGAGCGGAAAGTAAAAGGATAGAGGAGTAAAAAAAGGAAAAAAATAGAAAATATATAATCGAAATTAAATTTCCGAAAGTATTGCCTAAGATAAAGAAAGTTATTAAAGAATTTAATCCGAAAGCGGTAACTATTTTAAATAAAATCGAAAAACGGAGGTTAAAATTTTATATAAAAGTAATAGAATAGTAAGGCGTAAAACTATTTAATATTATGAAAATAATAGTTGAAATTTCGGTAGAGGTAAATTTATTATAAACTTTTAATATAGTATTCCAGATTAAGGTAGATTTTATAAAAGTAATAACGATTATAGAATATAGTAATAGGAAGCCGAAAAAGAAGAAAGGAGTATCGGGAATATTTATAAAATTGATGGAATTAAAGTTAAAAAGAAAGAAAGGAAAGCGTTAAATTTTAAATTTTGGAAGAATATAGTAAAATTTAGTATAATTTTATAGTTAGTAAAGTAGATAGAATAGAAATAAATTATATAATATTAAGTTCGGGGGTAATAATCGAATATATTACGCCGGAATTTACTAAAGAATTAGGATTAGTTCTATAAAGGTTACTTACTCTATAAATAGTATAATTAGTTAATAGTTCTACGAATTATATAAATAATTATATACATGTAGAAGTAAAAGTAAAAAATATTTGTGTAAGAATAATCGTAATAATATATAGTAATAGAAGTAATTATAATTTTGTATTTTCTTAAAAATAATTTTTAAGGATATAGATAATTTAAAGTTAAACGGAAAAAATATTAATATTAAAAAATAAAGCGAGAGCGGAAAGTATAATATTATTTCGGATATATTATAAAGAGTTAGGGTATAAAGTAATACTATTAAATATACTTTTAAGAGAAATATTTAAAATAATAGAAATTAAGAAAATGGAATTAGAAGACAGGGAATTAATTTACTTAGTAAATATTATAAAACTCAATAATTTTATTAAGCTATCGGAAAACGATATAGTTTAATAGGTAAGTCCCAACCCGATCATGCCAGATCAGATACTAAGTAACTAATTAATTTAGAATTTTTCAATTTATTTCCTTCAATACTGCTCTTTAATAAAATTTAGAACAATATTAATAAATTTATGAATATCGACTCTCTACCTAACGAAATTTCTTTAATAGAAGTAAAAAAACTTCGAATAATATAATTATTTTATCATAAAGTACAATTAATTAGTAAAAAGTTTTTTATTTTAAAAATTCCTCCCTTATTAATAATATAATATTTTAAATTTTAATAAATAATTCGGCTCGAGAAAACCTCTCAAACTATCAAAAAGCACTATCTATAAATTCTTAATAATATATATAACGGAAAGCCAACTAATAATATTACTACAATATAATTTCTATATAGTAATATCCCTTTTCAAATAAGATTCGGATTCTTAAAAGTAATACTTATACTATTTGATTTTATAATTAAATTTTCTTCTTTAGAACGGGAACTAGCGGAAACTATTACTAGATTTTATAAATCTTTATTAATAGAAAATTTAATAATGGCCAATACAATATAGAAATCTTTAACTTTTTATAAAGATTTCCTAGAATTTCTATTAATAAAGTTACTCCGCTATATTAAATAGTATTAATTTATATTGGAAGAATATTCGGCATGTATAGAATCTAATATATTAAGTATTAAATAATAAAAAACGAATATCCCGAACACGAAAGTGAAACGATTTTTATAACCTTTAATTTTATAACTTATTATATTATATTAGAATAGAAGTATGAAAGCGAATATTAATATAATATTTGGTAAAACCGGAATTTATATAAGATTTTCGAATCCGAGGGGAGATCCCTTTACCATTCTAGAATTCCCAATAAAAAAGCAAATTCTATTATTTAATATAGATACTATTGATTCCTAGTAGGAAAAA